AAGAAATGGCGTCGACGTTGAGCAACGAAGACGAAATTCCCATAATCGCGCGACCTCCCAAGGTTTGCTTCGACTATGAGACTAGTCCACCCAACCATGCTAAGGTTGAGGAGTTGGAAAACTCGATTTCCAACTTGAAGGATTCATTTCTTCTACACCAAAAAGAGCTACAGACTCAGTTGCAGGAAGCGTTGAAGACGTTCGTACAGACTGCTCGCGAGGCGCCCATACAGCGGTCGCGGCCAGTAGGCAACAACTCTTCTGTGCCCCACTTCGAAAGTCGCGCACAAGGAGGAGCTGCCGCACGGAACGACGACTGTCGCTACTGTGGACAAACTGGTCACTGGTCGAACGAGTGCCCACTCAAGAGGTCTCACATTGAGAAAAACCTTCTCAAAGTCGACACCAAAGGGATGTGGAGGCTCTTCGACGACAGCTTCTTACCAAATGGAGAAGGGACTCAGGGACAACAAGTAGAGGCTTATTGGAAGAAGAAGGGCAAGTCCGTCAACTTCCAAGACTCCTACTACTTAGATCAGTTCGATAGCCGCGACAATGATGATATGTCCGACTACCCTGAAGAAGTGGCAGATGAGATACGCTCCCTTCGTAGTCAACTCATCCAATATGAGAGGAAGTCGTCGCGGCCAACTCCAGAGAGTCGCGCTGAGCCAAAGACTCAAAGAGCTGCATCTGGTTCAACCAGCAATGCAATGGAAAGCGCCATGGGTCAGTTCATGCAGAAAGCCATGACCGACGCCATGGCCGGCTACTTCCATAACATGAACAGTGGTTATCCTCAGACTCAGGAGCAGTTCATTCAAACCCGTCGTGGGGCGAATAGCCAACCTGAGCGCGACGATAACAACTCGGGTTTCTAAATGGTTCAAGGAAGGGGGCTAAACCCACAAACTCAGCCAAGCCCTCTGAGGACCATGATAAACGAGCTGAGCGACGAGAGAAACCGAGGAAACCTGTGATTATTGAGGAAGTTAGTGATAGCGACGATGATGAGGAATCAGTGCGCGACAACACCGAAAAGAGAAAGGAACTACCGTTTGAGAAAGTCAAGCCCGTTCTACAAGAACCAGTACATTCTTCAAAAGCGCGCGTTCCAGATAAATACCAGTTGCGTGCACCGATTCAAAAGAAGGCTGTGGCAGAAGCAGTCTACGACAAAATGAAAAACGCGTCAGTCGACGTCACTGTGGGTGAACTCCTAGCAGTTTCGGGGACTGTCCACGACTCCATCCTGAAGGACTCTTCGAAGAAACGAGTACCGGTTCAGAAGTCCATGCTTCAAGAAACTGGTCGCGTCGTTGAAGACGTTTGGGATGGAGAACTGAGCTACAACCTAGTCAGTGCTAAGGAATTGCCCGAGCCTGTGTTCTATCATAACACAGTCGAAGGAGAAATTCCCATTGGCGCAGTTGTCGCGACGGACCCATATGAGATGTACTTGGAGTCGATACCCTCCAATGAGAACCCAAGGCATGTCTATGTTGGTGATTCGTCGGCTGCTCTCAGAACGATAAACGGACGGATTAACACGCGTCTCGACGCGGACTGCATCCTAGACAGTGGATCTCAGATTGTATCGATGGCTTTCTCAGAAGCCGTCGACGCACAATTAAGCTGGGACCCAAAAGTCGTCATCTATATGGAAAGCGCAAATGGATCTATCTCTAAGTCACTGGGATTAGCGAGAAATGTACCCTTCAGGTTTGGGACCATCTTGGTCTACCTGCAGGTGCACATTTTGGAAAGTCCAGCTTATAAGGTGTTGCTCGGCAGACCGTTTGATATCGCGACTGAAAGCAATATCAAGAACGCGGCTGACGGCAGCCAGATAATCACCATGCGCGATCCCAATCTAAAGACACATTGTGCAATGGCTACGCAGCCGCGTCGTGCAGACGACTTGCCGCTGAAATGCTGAGGGCGTGCTCACAAGTGAATCTACTATGAAAGTAAACCCAAATATAAACACGTTCACACTCCTTGTAATCAGCTTCTCAGTGTGTGAAAGATGCGAGGGCTTCGGGGTGGACAGAGCACCAGTATCACAACTCTCAATAGACGCAGATCCAATAGTCGCGGAGACGGAGTCGACGACAAGAATATATATATAGCAAACAATGGTATCTCAACCAATATCTTCTATACGAGCACAACCAACACTAATACAATCCACAACCAACGATATAACAAGTCAGAGCTTAATACGAAGTATTAAGATCCCTTGTAGCGACAGCGTCTAGATGGTGACGCAAAGCCCAAATATCAAGTCGACGCACTGCCAACCGATACAACCAATATACTGAGTCGACGCACTGCCAACTAGTAGAACCAGAATGTCAAGTCGACGCACTGCCAACTGACACAACCAAAAGTACTGAGTCGACGCACTGCCAACTAGTAAACCAAAATGCCGCGTCGACGCACTGCCAACTAACAGCCAATATCCAATGTCCAAAACCCGAGCACAACTTGTTGACGCACTGCCAAGCAAGAAGTGTGGAACCAAAGTTCTCAAGTCGACGCACTGCCAACTGACCAAAACAACCCGAGCACAACTAGTCGACGCACTGCCAAGCTAGAGGTGTGGAACGATCTCAATAAAGCCCGAAGGCGACGACACTAAATGCCGCGACTAAACCAGATGCGGCGAATCCGACTTTCTGATGTCTCAACTCAAACTCAAATCACAGTAGCTACAAGTGCTCAGGGAGCAACTCGTCGCGACCGGGCAGGGGTAGCAGAACTTCTTAGGGTGGAATCACGCGGCACGCAAATTGTACAAAACAATCTGATATGAGAGTGATTCACAGTCCGGGGGAAAGCTCCTTTAATACAAAGAAACGACGTGCTACTTATACTGTCTACGACGATGCTTAGTAAAGTCCTGTACAACTGCATAGTAGCTACGCTATCTAAGATCGGTTGCCTTTTAGGGTAATTGAAAGTTGAACGATCGGACAGGTCCTGAGTGATCAGGACCCCGCCCCATAGTCCATATGATACTTTTGATGTGGGCCAACTCACCGCGTCATACTTTTGGAATACGACGTGCTGGATTGGCCAACGGGTATGTCTTGGCATGTGAGACCAATGTGGGCGCCCCAAGAAGCCGTATGGCCCTAGGCACGCCAGTCGTCCCCCACATGGTTCGGCTCACGGATCTAGCCGTGTCAATTTCTAGTGTGTTTGGGTGTTGACGCGAATCGCCGTGGCACTTGGGAGTGTCACCGCGACGCGTCCTCAATGTCCCGTGATCGAATGGATCCTGACATGTGACAAGTCGTCGTCGTGGCATGATCTGAGGAAACGTCCAACTCAGAACCGGGAGTTGCCGCGACAAGATGGTTTAAGTCTCGTAACGCCAAGTCCTGTCCAGTAGTAGTTCTATTATTGAGAACGTCGCGCATTGCTCAGCCCTTCAGCCCAAGTTCCCATCTGCAGAGAATGACCCTTTTCGAGAAGTCGACGCAACGACAGATCCCTTTTTGGGGGAATGGTCGCGGTCCAAGCGTTCGTCACTAATGGCCCTGAGCCTGGTATAGACTCGTAAGACCAGTTCCACAGTAGTGATCTGACTGCCTTGCTATCGTCGACACTATCCACGGTCGTCGACTGGGCAGTAGACCCTTAAGTCCTACTGAGCGCAACACCGTCAACCGCGACACGATACACCGAGTGGTTCAAGAGTAAACTCTGTAAAAAGCGCAAAAATACGCCCTTACAGAGTTGGTGCAGAGCGCGTCTGGTAGCCAGCCTATCAACGTCACCTGTGCAGCGTTAATGTGATTGACGGTGGGAGAGCTAGCGAGATTACTGTCGCCATTGCCAGGAGAGACCGACGCCAACCGACAACCCTCGAGAATTGGCATCAATGGATGGGACATGCCGACATTCGAGCAATCAAAGCACTACGGGCAGGGAAGTGTGTCGAGGGTCTCGACATCACAGAGACAGCGGTAAAAGGAATGTGCCACGACTGTATTCTGGGGAAGCATGATCGGACACCGTTTGATGACGAAGTGGTCCACGAGACAGAACCGCTCGAAAGGGTGCAATTAGACCTGTGGGGGCGGGCAAGAACACCAAGCTGGAACCACGCCGTATACTTGATGCTTGTGTCAGACGGGGGCACGAGCATGAAGTTCCCGTTGTTCCTATCCAACAAACGTCAGGAAACGGTTCTGAAGGCATTTGCGACGTGGCTTACCAAGGCCGAGGTCCAAACAGATCGAAGATTGAAGATCGTACGAGTCGACCTTGGAAGCGAATTCGACAACGACCTGTTCACAGGGTTCTGCCGAGATCGAGGAATCGTAATTGAGCGCGTCCCGAAGGCATCATCATCAGCACATGGGCATGCAGAACGTGGCAACCGTACCGTAATTGCAGGTGTGCGGACTCAGCTGATCAAGTCCGGACTGGACCCACGATTCTGGGCCGAGGCAACAGCAGCCCATTGGTACGTCCGAAGTTTCATTCCGTCGGTGCGTCACCCAAAATTGGTCCCATGGGTGCGGTGGTCTGGAAAGAAAGATCAGCACGGTGCAGATATCCAACCAAATGTATCGCACCTTTGAGTATGGGGGAGCAAATGCTGGGTGAAAGACCTCGACAACCTTGAAGGCAAGCTAGGCGCCCAGGGATGGGAAGGCCGAATAGGCGGATACATGGGCAGACGTGGATACCAGATATACGACCCAAGACGCAGGAAGGTTTACGAAGTCCAAAACGTCATCTTTGAGGAGGGAGAACCTCATCAAACCAAAGGCGCCCGACCGTCAGATAACCCAGAAAACGTGTTGAGGTCAGAGGACAAAGAACCAGAAGAAGACAATGACGAACCGAATCCCGAACAAACCGCAGTCGAGAAGGCAAACAACCAACGTGCCAAGAATGAAGGACAGGCACCAGTCGAGGAGGGAAACAAGACGCCACCGATTCCACGAAGGAGCGCACGAGTACCCAAACCGAGCAGAAGGATGTTAGAAAGCCAAGTCGCCCAACAAGCAGAAGAAGAGGCGAGGGTAGCCCGCGAAGACTGGGCGCGGGACTCAGAGAGACCAGCTGCGAACTGGGTGGATCTGAGTGACAACAACTTCGAGGAAGCGGTGAATGAAGCGATGGTACTGGCGAGTGCGACGAAAGGAAGGTTGCCGCGGAGTGGAACAGAGGCAATGAGGGAGTCGGAGATGTGGGGTCCTGCAATGAGGGCAGAAATGGATCAGATGAAAGAAAAGAAGGTGTGGACGTTGGTGGACCTACTGGAAGGAGAGAGGGCGCTAGATGGAATGTGGGTGTTCGATTTGAAGATGGATGGTGCAGGAGAAGTCGTGAAACGGAAGGCAAGATGGGTGGCGAGAGGGGACCAGATGGTGGAGGGCCGAGACTTTGGAACAAAGTGGGCAATGGTAGCCAGGATGGAGTCAGTGCGGATGGTATTTGCGGTGGCTTCTGTGAAGGGTCTGCACGTGCGACAGTGGGATTTCTCTGGGGCGTACCTAAACAGGACGATGGATCAGGCCGTATACATGAAACAGCCGCGCGGATTCGAAGAGAAGGGGGAGGAAACCAAGGTGTGTCTTCTCTTGCGACCGCTCTATGGGCTGGTTCAGGCGGGGCACATCTGGTACAAGACTTTGAGCACTGGGTACGGGGAGTTGGGATACCACGAAAACGTGGCAGATCCATGCGTACGGACTTGAAACCTTGGCGGGAAATACACCATAACAAGCACCCACACGGACGACGTGATTGGAGCATCCTTGAGCAATCAGGAAAGTTCACACGTGGTGGAGGAATTTGCGGCGAAGTGGGATCTGAAGGAGGTCGACCTCAACCTACTGCTGGGCCTGACGGTGGAAAAACTGTCGAACGGGGACATTGCGCTGAGTCAGAGACAATATTTTGAAAAGGTGCTTGATCACTTTGGATTCGCTAATTTGCCTCCGCTGTCAACCCCGCTGCCCCCCGGCTATCAAGTCCGCGCATCCCCGAGCCCCCTACCAATAGAGGACGCTGAGTTCATGCAAGACAAACCGTTTCGGCAGATCCTTGGGTCGATCGTCTGGGGCAGCAGCGGTATGCGTCCCGACCTTGCCTACGCATGCTGCGCGTTGGGACACGTCCAAGTAAATCCCGGACCTGAACACTGGCAAGTCCTCGTTGGCGTGCTTTGTTACATCAAAGGGACACTCGATTACGGGGTCAAGTACTCGCCAAATAGTCAAAGCCCAGGCGGAGACCTCAAGCCGATTGGTTACGTGGATTCAGACTGGGCCGGCTGCGTGGATACTCGGAGATCAACCGCCGGTTACATATTCTTCATGGGCGGAGCCCCAGTCGCATGGTCATCGAAACGGCAGGCGGTCGTTGCACTGTCGTCCACCGAGGCCAAATACATTTCTCTCACTCGTGCCTCGCAGCAAGCGACTTGGATGAAAAACTGGCTGGCCGAGGTCTTCTTGCTGCAGAAACTTCCGTTCAGTCTCCGAGGCGATAACCTGGGATCGATCAGTCTCACGGAGACCACAAAAGGGCATGGCTTGGCAAAACACATCAACATTCAGTATCACTACATCCGTGATTGCATCAGCAAGGGGGAGATCGCGGTTACATCCGTGCCGGGGAAGGAGAACATGGCCACATGGCCGATATCATGACAAAGTCGCTTGGAAGGGTGGATCATGAGCGGATATGCCATGCATTGGGTCTCGACTGGAGGAGGACTGAACTCCAGGGGGAGTGTTGACACGTGACGCGGTTGGCGCTTATTGATGGGAGTTCAGCGATCTTACGTTTTGGTCTGTTTGTTTTTCCCAATCGCCTATACAGTGGCTCTCGATCGTTTTCCGTCCCTCAGTCTTACCACATCTTGTGTGCGACTGAGGGTACATGATTATTATTCTAACTAATACATTTACTTACTGTACCATGTAGACTTACGATATTTCTACGTCTACAGGTACAATAAAAGAGTCTTACCACATCTTGTGTGCGACTGAGGACTTACGATATTTCTACGTCTACAAAATGGTGTTGGCACTTTTCAAGTGGTTGCAGTGATGGAGCCGAGCAACTGATGTAATGGTGATCAGACAGTATCTGTTTTGAAGGGCTTGAATGAAAAGTTCATGGCAAAAAAAAATCAGACCAGATTTGATCATTCATATTAACACTGTACAAGGCTTTTAGATTGGGCAGAGACTGTGAGACATAACAGACCAAGCCCAAAAATGTTCAAACATTAGTTACCAACTCTGGTGTTAGCTAGTATATAATCCTTTCAACTTTATCTTGGTAGTGTTCATTGTTTAATTCCCTGTATAGAAATCTGGTGGCCTAAAAACATGGCCTTGTGATGGAACAGCTTTGTCTTCTTTCATTGTAGTGTAGTCCAGCTTTCCAAAGTGCTTCAAAAATGTCACATATGTCTTTTTTGTGCAGGTCAACATCCGTTAACCAAATCATGATGTTGTTGATGTCATACTTCAACCACTTTTTCATCTTTTCATTGACAATCTTATCTTATCTTGACACAGGTTATCTTATCACGGATCATGGCATCACATGGTCCGGACTAGGGGCTCAGGGGGTTATCTCTATTGATTCAAGGCTGCGCGACATGTGCTCCAGAAGGTTCTACTACAACCCATGACCAATGCTCCACATGGTACACATAGTCTCATGACTCATTTGATGTAGATATGACTCATACTGGGACTGGTATAAATACTGTAGCTATTGTCATGTATTCCCCAGTCTTGGAATTCACTCTTCTTATTGACTTTGTTTTTTGGGTTGATTGTCATAGTATGGCCCTAATCTCTTGTCGCTCATCTTCTTTGATGGTCTATCCATCTTGATATTGTCTCCTTCTACATACACCTTCATCCCAACCTTCTACTCCAGAACTTCTTTTCTTTGTTTATTGTAGTATTTTTTCATTTTTCCATTTGCTTTTTCTAGTGCTGCTTTTGCTTCATCTTGTATTTCTTTGATTCTTTTTACAAATTATTCCACTGACTTGTTTCTCGATTCCATCCACTGCTCCTCTCCCTTCCATGGGTGATATCTGTGATTTGCGTAGAATGGTGATATTGTCATAGTTTGACCCTTTTTCATCTTATCTTCAACAATCTTATCTTATCTTGGCACGGGTTATCTTATCACGGATCATGGCATCTAACGGTCTGGGCTAGGGGTCCAGGGGATCATCTTTATTGATTCAAGGCTGCGCGACATATGCTCCAGAAGGTTCTACTACAACCTATGACCAGCGCTCCATGCGGTACATAGCCCTATGACTCATTAGTTGTAGATATGACTCAGACTGGATTTGGGTATAAATACTGTAGCTACTTCGTTGTACAGTACAACTGTTAATAAGGAATAATGTTGGGAAGGGCCCAAGTATATTCCTTACCGCGGGTATTCCGTATCACATATTCCATTTAAAAATCGATAAATTTGTGTTTTCGGTCTATCTACGGCTTCTACTTGAAGAACTGAGTCAATTCCACCTGTTTCTTACCCTGCTCAATCTCTTTTGTGATTCCAACTCGCATTTTGCGAAGCTGAGGGCCAAGGGACAGTGTCGAATCGAGATCAGGGCGATGTCGTGCAATCTTCTCCAGCAGGTCAACTGCTGCAATCGCTTCCTTCTTGTCGAATGAGAACTCGGGTTCCTCTTCCTCCTCAGCTGCAGCCTCGCGCTCCTCTTGATCAACCCTCTGCATGTGCTGAATGATCTCGTTGGTGTTGTCGCCATCGGAAAACCCCAGAATACCGGATCCGGGTTCCTGGCGTTCAATTGGTGAATTGAGAATCTCATCGAGGCTGGGAAGAATCCCTCGGATACAACGTTCCTCTGCAAGTGTCTTGATTGTTTCGTAAAGAGCGTCCTCAGCCTCGCGGAGATTTCGATCAATGGGATAACGACGCTGGGGAACATCTGTCCGGGATTCGGAAGGTTGCGTGGCAGCAATCAAATCCCGGACAGCGAGCTCGGCCTCGACTGCGTCTCCCTCACACGCCATGACAGCCTCGAGCGCAGCCTGCCAATCCTTCGGATAATATGCCGGGCCCAGCACGCGTTGAAGCTGCTCCTCTGCCTGGGGCAAAGACATGTCTGTTGTCGCGAATGCCAACATCACATCCCAAGCAGCTTTGGTCGCCTCCGCTGATGTTGGAGTCTTCTCCGCCGATGCTGTCTGCTCCGCTGAGGGCTCGTCGCACTCAGAATCGGAGCTGTCAGGCGCATTGGGATCAACAAAGATGTCTTCCCATTCATCTGTTTCCTTGGGAGTGATTTTCGTGTGGATCCAGCAATTGGCAATGGTTGTGGGAGTGACATTGTTCCACACGCTCTCAAGCATTTGCATGCCGCTGAGAATGTCAATCTTGAATGGCTGCGGATCATTCGCCTGGTAGAGATCAAGCGCACGGATAGCCAAGGCACGGCAATAATGAGCCTTAAGGCACCGGATGATCCCAGCGTCGCATGGCTGGACAAACAAGGTCATGTTTGGCTCGAGGAACTCGACATGGATGTTGGTTGGCTTGTAAGTCATCGCTACATGGCCCGGACAGTTGTCGACCAACAACAGGATGCGGCGCTTCTGCCGGCGCATCTTGTCATTCAGATGTCGAATCCACTCAGTCCATAACTCCGCTGTCATCCATGCCTTCACGTTCGCGCGGTAGTAAAGCGGTGGGTTCATTTTTGCGGGATTGGTGCCTCGGAACACACGTGGTTTCTGGGATTTCCCAATGAACATCAAGTCGAGCTTCTCTGATCCAATGGAGTTGGCTGTGACAAGAACGGAGATGAGAAACTTGTCCTGTTTCGTGCCGCTCATGGGTGCAGTGCAGAGGGTGCGGTCCGGTGGCATGGATGGGAAAAAGCTCGTCTCATCTGCGTTCCAGATGTCCGCGGGAGCATAACGGGAGCAGAGTCGAACCAAGCGTTTGCGTTCAACCTCGACAGCTTCAAGGTTAACAGATCCGGCTTCGCCGTGCCATCGTCGTTCTGATAGGCCATGACTGCAATCAAGCTCAGCACGATGCATTGGGAAAGATCAGGGACTGTGCGTACGCTTTCTTGAATGAATCAACCCATCCCGTTCCTCGCAAGCGTCGTTCTTCAGGAACATTGAGCGCCACTTCAAGTCTCTTGCGTTGCTCGATCAACATCGCGCCTGTAACCGCGCGATTCTTCTGTTCCATGTTGAGCACCCATAGACCAAGACCCCGATCAACTTCGGGTGCCGTAACGACTCGCTCGCGCTTGAGAGACAGTGCCGTGGAGTTTTCAGCAGCAAGGGCCAGGAGAGCGGCCTTCTTGACCGGATTCAGGTGCTTCGAAAGCGCGCCCTGCGTGAACGACAGTTTCCCGCCCTCAGCATTAGACCTCGAGGCAAAATACTCGACGACAGCCTTCTGTTTAATGCCGGAATCCTTGTCGTGATATTGAATGACCTGGAGCCAGTCCCAGTTTGTCAAATTTTTCCGTCCCTCTTGGCCCAGAACAGCAGAAGAGGGATGCGCTTCCTTTGGCTTCGGGCCTGGCTTTACGCGAGTGGCGGCTTTGGCCTTAGCCTCGGTCGGGTCGCGATCGCGCGCGCGTATAGCGCGGAATTTGGGAGTGGTGTCTACAGGCATTGGAATGAGGGAGAGTGCTTGGTAAAGCAAAGTTCATGCGTATCATATCTTATTTTTCATATTCTCGTCTCCACAACCCATTGTTCACCCAAAAAAGGCACTCAACCACTCTGCCAAAGCCAGCTATCACCCGCAATATGGAATATCCCCGCCAGGAAAATCACATGCTTGTATTCCTTATTCTGGATGACCAACAATGGAATATTACCGCTTTCCTGACCCAGGAAGGTCCAAATCCTATTCCTTATCGCGGATATTCCGCATCAACATATTCCTTATTAACAGTTGTACTGTATTCTCCAGTCTTCGAATTCACTTCTCTTTTTGACATTATTTCTTGTTGATTGTCACATAATTCAAAGACTCACCTCATACCCTCGTACCTCTTACCTCCTACCCTGCATTCCGCACTGCTATGCCCGCTATATCCTCTCCACCCTTATCATCTCACTTACCCTTTTACCAAATCATCTAGTCGTTCCCTGCGAGCGCAGTGAAGGGTTCATCTCGAGCAAACAGCACCAGGCCATGGGTAACGTTGAGCCCGACCCAAGCCTTATGGTAGCTACAAGGAGTGCTGCGGAGACCTTCGGGAAAACGCACCTCAGGATCATTGGGCATGTGAAGAGCTAGGCCCGGGATCTTTTTGCTAGCAAAAGAACCTTTTCTCAAGTGCTTGTACAGCACACAAATCCACCATTTTGTACCAATTCCCATTGTCGTCTGGGAGTCCGTCTCCTCCCCCCATCATACCATCGTTGCCCGATCTGGCGCATCAAAACCAACCCAGGCCCTCCAACCCCTACCTTGCCCTCCCGCTGCCTGAAGACAAGATCCCCAACTCTACGAGTTACCCTCCAAACAACCACCCTCACCCTCACCTACTACACCTGCCCCTACCATGTCAGGACACCACCGCATCACCCTCGCCGCCAACCCCCCCTATTTTGATGGGGACAAGACCAAATACATGGGCTTCGTGGACTCGTGCACCACCTACATTGGTGCATACCGGTCAGAATTCTTGCTGGATGAAACAAAAATCCTCTTCATCCTCTCCTACCTCCGCAATGAGGCTGGCACAAGCTGCACCACCTCAAGATGGGCAATGAACTGGAAGCAGCGCAACTTCAAAAGCCTTGATGGAGTAAAGGCTGGGGTCACCTCGGCAACCTTCTTGGAGGAGCTTCAGAGGGCCTTTGGGGACTCCAACGCGGAGCAAGTCGCCGCTGCCTGACTCATGGCCCTGCGCCAGAACAAACAATCCTTTGCGGATTATATCTCCAACTTCGAGATGCTGGCTGCAGACGCAGGGTACAATGTGGTCACCACCACCGATGACAAGGGCGAGTACAAGAAGGGGATCAAGACAACATCCTCATCAAGTTCCTCGAGCGCGGACTCAGTAGCGAGATCACCAGTCGCCTCTACAACACTGGTGTCCCTCTGCCCAAGGTGTATGGTGCCTTCAAGGACTGGTGTGTCAACATCGAGGCAAACGCTCTGCATGATTGTCACAGATTGGGTGATATGTGGTTTCCAGATTCATTTCCATGCCCAACATCTGATTCGTCTCCTTCATGAAGCCTTTGATTTACTGTGTGTCCCTGTTGGTGATGATCTTGTGAGGGATCCCATGATAGCGGAAGACCCGGTCCCTTGTCAACCGTGCTACTCCTTCGCTGCTGATGTCAGTCCCGATTGGTTCCACGTGGATCATTTTGGTGAGGGTATTACACCACATGTGTAAGGGCAACCTCGAGACCCAATCTCAGAGTTCTGGCAAGGGAGAATCCAAAGGTGTTAATAATGGTAGCTAGGTACAAGACCAGCATACCTGGCAAGGGAGAATCCAAAGAGAAACTGTGTTGGGGATTCTCCTTGCCAGGCGCCACTATTTATATGATACAAGAACAATAGAGCGTGCAGCAACAAACAAGGAACAATGGGAACAATAAGTACAATGGCCATGACAGAACAATGGGATGTGGAGACAATAGGAACAATGGGCACCTGACCATGTGCCCATCAGAGAGAAGCACTCGGCGTGGCAGTCCGGGCCGTGGCACGTGACAGCTGACAGGTCACGCGAGCGCGATCACATGCCTGATCGAAGGCAGAGCAGTCTGAAGCAGTTGGCAAAATTCCGCCCCACGATTTCCTTTTTTGAATGGACCCATTTTAGGAAAGCTCCGACCGGATGTGATGCGAACACCGCGAGCACTGCAAATTATTTGATCTGTTGCATTATATATATTCCATATTCCATACTGTATAACATCGGGTACCGGGCCACCTTAACGTTTTTGGCCTGGTACTCAATACTGATACATTAAATCGGGTGGCCTATGTATTCTAATCTATGGGCAAGGGTCCTATCTAAGACCTCGAGATCATAAAATAGTTGGTTGCTGCTTGTACCGAGCTCTGGAAGTCATATGGTCAGGTCGTTCCAAATTGGGAAAGTATCGTCATCCGGGCCACCTTGCCCTCAGTGCAATAAGCACAGGGTGACATATACACACCTGGCATATGAACGATGGCATCCCACCCAATCGTCCTACCAAGTCCTAGCGCAACCCCTTGAGCCGTTCTTACATATGAGCTCACTCTTCCAGCTGCCATTCCCATCCTCAATGACTGTTTCGATGTGTTTCGCGCTGTTATGCAGAAGTGATGGGCTTTGGGGAGGCTAGACGTGCTTGTATTTGAAGGATAGCTCCCCTAGATTCTGTAGGTGTCCATGGTCAACATCAGGTCCAACAAATACAAGTGTTCAGGCCTCAGAACACAAGAATTCACACGTCATGGGTGAGAACACAGATTCGGACCACGATCCTGAACGAGTCAATGGATCAGTCAACTTCAAAATTTGTACTCAGACGCTCTGAGGGTAGTAGTCCATTGCACAGAAAGGAAAACCTCGAAATATGGTACTGTTAGAGCGTAGGGGGCAAATGGCCCATATCCTGATTCGGCCCACATGGTGATGTCATACAGTATCGAGAAGAAAATTGAATTTATTGTGATTTATAGCAAGAACCGGGTACAGACAGTAAGGTGCCCATATGCTGATAATAAGAAATGCCCTGAGGTCCATAAATTGCGTTACAGCGTGTGATCACATCCATCCAAGCCGCCACTGACTCGGGAGAGTGCTGATAATGTACAGGTGCTGGAGCAGCATTTGAAGGGACTGGCTGGGAAGACGGATCGTTGTCAGCCGCAATATTTCTGTTGACAGGCGCATCTTCTAAGACATCGGTAGTCCTCACTTTCTTTGGCGTGTGAGCATCTGGCTTGGCGAGCTTCCCGCTGCTTTGGCCGCCACTGTAAGGATCATCATGCTTCCGTTTTCTGGAGCTCTTTGCTTTGACCCCCATGACTTTGGCTGTTTCACTCCAAGTACCCCGATTTGGTGCAATCTTCTTGCCCCGAGGCGGCAAGACTTCGGCATCAGCGGAAATCTCAGTGAGTGTCTTGTTAAGTTCTCGAAGCTCCTGGGAAAGAGAGGGTGGTAGAACAAGATTGCGCCGTCACAAGTCATCCAGCTTTGACGAGACAAAGCCGAGCAGGACGTTATCTTCAGTAGAGTTTGACATCGGGAATGAGGCAGAGAAGACAGCAATATATGGCGCGTTGAGAGGCCCGTCGGCATTGGGAGAGGTGAGGAGGAGCAAGCGTAACAAATCACAGTTGAGTAGTCCCCTCATTGTCTTGTTTGTCGTGTTTACAGGAATAATCAATTGAATTACATTTAACCCCGGGCCCATCAGTACATCACCGCCCTTCGGACGCACACGCAGAGTACTACCGCATAAGGGAGTGTCACGTGAAGAATCGTGGGGCGGAATTTCAAAGACTGTCTGAAGCGGGGGTTCCCCTGACAACAACTCTCAATAGACGCAGATCAATAGTCGCGGAAGACAAAGTCGACGACAAGAATTCATATATAGCAAACAGTGGTGTCTCAACCAATATCTTCTATACGAACAAAACCAACACTAATCCAACCACAACCAACAATATCACAAGTCAGAGCTTAATACAAAGTATTAAGGTCCCTTGTAGCGACAGCGTCCAGATGGTGACACAAAGCCCAAAATATCAAGTCGATGCACTGCCAACCAATACAACCAAGATACTGAGCCAATGCACTGCCAACTAGTAAAACCAAAATGCCGCATTGATGCACTGCCAACCAACAGCCAATATCCAAAGTCCAAAACCCAAGCACAACTTGTTGACGCACTATCAAGCAAGAAGTGTGGAACCAAAGTTCTCAAGTCGACGCACTGCCAAACTAGAGGTGTGGAAACAATCTCAACAAAGCCCAAAGGCAATGACACTAAGTGCCATGACTAAACCAGAAGCGGTGAATCTGACTTTCTGATATCTCAACTCAAACTCAAATCACAGTAGCTACAAGTGCTCAGGGAGCAACTCGTCGTGACCAGGCAGGGATAATAGAACTTCTGAAGGCGGAATCATGTGACACGCAAATTGCACAAAACAATCTGATATGGGTATAATTCACAGTCCAGGGAAAGCTCCCTAATACAAAGAAACAACACCCTACTTATACTGTCTACGATGGTGCTTAGTAAAGTCCTGTACAACTGCATAGTAGCTACGCTATCTAAGATCGGTTGCTTTTATAGTAATGAAAAGTTGAACCATCGGACAGGTCCTGACTGATCAGGACCCCGCCCCATTGTCCATATGGTGCTTTTGATGTGGGTCAACCCACTGTGTCATACTTTTGGAATACGATGTGCTGGATTGGCCAACTGGTATGTCTTGGCAAGTGGGCCCAATATGGGCGTCCCAAGAAGCCGTATGGTCCTAGGCACGCCAGACGTTCCTCACATGGTTCGGTTCACGGATCTAGCCTGTGTCGCTTTTGATGTATTTGGGTATGGGCGCAACTCACCGTGACACTTTGAAGTGTCACTGCAACACATCCACAATATCCCATGATCGAGTGGAACATGACATGTGACAAGTCATCGCCATGGCATGATCTACAAGTTCCCATCTGCAGAGAATGACCCTTTTGAGGAGTCGCCACAACAAAGTATCCCTTTTGGGGAACTGTCACGGTCCGAGTGTCCATCACTAATAGCCCTGAGCCTGGTGTAGACTCATAAGACCAATTCCACTGTAGTGGTCTGACTGCCTTGCTATCGTCAACACCATCCACAGTCATTGACTGGGCAGCAGACTCTTCAGTCCTACTAAGCGCAACACTGTCAACCGTGACACAATACACCAAGTGGTTCAAGAGTAAACTCTGTAAAAGTTGCAAAAATACGCCCTTATGGAGTTGGTGCAGAGCGCGTCTGGTAGCCAGCCTATCATCGGGCTGGAGGGCTTAGCAATGTGCAACATGCTCAACATAACAACTACTACTAGACAGGACTTGGTGTTACAAAATTGAACTAATCTTGTTGCGGCAACTCCCAGCTTTGGGTTGGACGTTTCCTTGGATCATGCCATGGCAACAACTTGTCACATGTCATGTTCTACTCAATCACGGGATATTGTGGACACGTCACAGTGAGTTGCACCCATACCCAAACACACCAAAAGTGACACGGGCTAGATCCATAAACCAAACCATGTGAGGAACATCTGGTGTGCCTAGGACCATATGTCTTCTTGGGGCACCCACGTTGGACTCACTTGCCAAGACATACCAGTTGGCCAATCCTCTGTATTAAGTTCTGACTTGTGATATTGTTGGTTGTGGTTGGATTAGTGTTGGTTTTGGCTATATAGAAGATATTGTTGACGTCGTGCCCGCGTTGCACCCAGATGACGATCAGAGACAGGGAACAAACTCCCTCATCATTATACAAACATATGTATACAAATTGGCAGACCCTATCTTAACAGATATTGGTTGAGACACCATTGTTTTGCTATATATATATCCTTGTTGTTGACTCCGTCTTCTGCAACTATTAGATCCCACGTCTATTGAGAGTTGTGATACTGGTGTTCTGTTCACCTCAAAGCCCTCGCATCTTTCACACACTGAGAAGCTGATTACAAGGATTGTGGACATGTTTATATTTGGTTTTACTTTCACAGTAGTTTCACTTGTGAGCACGCCTCCAGCATTTCAGCGTTTTCCCAAAGGTCTCCACAGCACTCCTTTTAGCTACTGTAAGGCTTGGGTCAGGCTCAATGTTACCTGTGGCCTGGTGCTGTTTGCTTGATATGAACCCTTCACTGCAATCACAGAGAGTGACTAGATGATTTGGTAAAAGGGTGAGTGAGATGATAATGGTGAAGAGGATATAGCAGGCATAGTGGCAAGGGATTCAGTGGTAAGAGGTATGAGGTAGGAGGGTATGAGGGGAGTCTTCGAATTATATGATGATCAACAAGAAATAATGTCAAAAAGAGAAGTTAATTCAAAGACTGGAGAATGCAACAAGGTGGCTACAGTATTTATACCCAAATCCAGTCTGAGTCATATCTACAACTAATGAGTCATAAGACTATGTACTGCATAGAGCATTGGTTATGAGCTGTAGTAGAAGCTTCTGGAGTGTATGTCACACAGTCTTGGATTGAAAGAGATAACCCCTCCTGCACCCCTAGTTGAGACCATGTGATGCCATGATCTGTGATAAGATAACCCATGTCAAGATAAGATAAGATCATTGTTGATAAGATGAAAAAGTGGTTGAACTATGACAAGAGGTTTGAAGGGAGAGCAGGTGGGAAGGAGATCTGAAGTTGGTGTGAGTATGCACAACTGGTGTACAATGTCACACTTGTTGGCTGGAATGGAGTTGAAGTAGCACCTAAAGGCAAATTCCAAGTGTTGAAGAATCATCTGTAATTAAGGGGTAGAAACGTCGGGCCAAATATGACCATCCTCCAATGCCAGGGAACCAATGGGGGCATCACCATTTGACTGGGCCATTGTCACAAAGATACTGGGCTGGAGAGGCTCCCAAGACTCAAGAGCTGGGTCAGGTAGGGGAAGGTTTGCCATGGATGCGCCTCAGAAACACACCAAGGCCCATTCAAACCTCTTGCACGACCCAACTACTGACACGCTATTGCTCCACCTCTCCCTATCACTTTGGAGTCTTTTTGGATCTGGTGGAGCCAGAACATAGGGTCACACAAAGTAAATGGATCCTGATGTGTCATCTACAAGGGCAGAGGAGCAGAGCAACTGATGCAACACAACAAGGTGAAAACCCGTAAAGGCGCACAATAGGTGACATGGTGTGGCCAAACTGTAAGGTCTTGGTGAATTTGACCTGTCAAGCGCTTTTTTGTAGAATCTATATCATTTTCTCTGGAAGGCTTTTTTGGGAGAACTCATTTTTTAATGAAGCTAATACACTCTATTCCATACTACAAAATGAGGAATATTTGGTTCTCCCAAGTTGGGAGAAGCCCAAAAACTATTCCATGTCATGGATAATCCATATGAGTGTTTCTACTATACTGTCAATTGCTCCTCAACAACTTTCATACTCACTTAATACAGTATGTTTTGTGTGATAATGTCTATACTGTGGTTGCCAGCCAATCCTCAAGCCCACCCCCACCTGAAGTTTCTGGCTGGCTGCAAACCATTCTTTCAGCCAGCATCGACAGGTGTTAACCCATCTATACCTGGCCTCCACCATTTTGGGAAAATTGATAGTGGAGAAACAGGGCTGAGAGCATTGGATTCTTCATCTCTACTGGGAACGTGCATGTGTTGTTCTGTGGGTGGTTTTCAAGGTGCTATGTGAAAGGTCACATGGAGGGGTGACGGGGATGCCGGGGAAACCCTTCTTCGAGCAGGAACTAACAAGAACCGTGTACGCTCCGTAGAATCAAAATGCAGCGATCCGGTGGGAAGCAATGATGCCGTTCCGGACGCATCAACCCTTTGCCGAGATGTTGATTCGTGTTTGGCAGCCGATACTGACCGATGGGAATAAAACCAAACAGGATTCCTTGTGGTGACTGATCCTTCAGCTCCCCTCCCCCCTCATCTTCTCCCATGTCCGACTCTGAAAAGGTCCCCGGCGGCGAGCCTTCGCCAGCCGAAACCGCGCCTGCCAAACGAGAGTACAAGGAGTTCGGCCATGACGAAGTGAAGGCTACGCACGCCCTGGTAGACATGAGCACCATCGAGTTGAAGGCGGAGGATCTCTACGACAAGGAGAAGGTCGACCTGGAGACGATCGTCATTGACGACGTCTTCAAGCTGCTGCAGTGCGACGAGAATGGTCTGAGCCAGGACGAGGCTACCCGTCGTTTGGAGCTTTTCGGTCCCAACAAGCTCGAGTCGGAGGAGCAGAACCCTTTCCTGCAGGTGAGTCTTGTGCTTCGCCCACGCGGTCGTTAGGGTACTCATCTGGCGTCTTTTTCCCACCCCAGTTCCTTTCTTTCATGTGGAACCCGCTCTCCTGGGTGATGGAAGCCGCCGCTTTGGTTGCCATCGCTCTGTCCAACGGTCAAGGCCAGCCTCCCGACTGGCAGGATTTCGTCGGTATCGTCCTGCTACTCCTCATCAACTCGTCCATCGGTTTCTACGAAGAGCGTGGTGCGGGTAACGCGGTCAAGGCTCTCATGGATTCGCTCGCACCCAAGGCCAAATGCAAGCGTGGAGGTTCTTGGTCCGAAATCGAGTCCGCCGACCTCGTCCCCGGTGACATGGTTTCATTCAAGATTGGTGACATCGTTCCCGCCGACTGCCGTCTCACCGAGGCCATCAACGTGTCCATCGACCAGGCCGCCTTGACTGGTGAATCCCTGCCCCAGTCAAAGAAGCTCGGCGATCAATGTTTCTCGTGAGTGGAATTCGCACGGAATGTTCGCTATCGTTCTCAGTACCTTCAGGGGTTCCACTTGCAAGAACGGTGAAGCCGAGGGTGTGGTGATCTCCACCGGTGCCAACACTTTCTTCGGTCGCGCTGCCTCCCTTGTCGGACAGGACGACGACACCACTGGTCACTTGCAGAAGATTCTCGCCCAAATTGGATCGTTCTGTCTCGTTGTCATTGGTATCTTCGTCTTGGCGGAGATCCTGGTTCTCTACGCTGGATTCCGTTACTCTTACCGTCGTGGTATGTGCATTACGGCTGCCTTCCGGCAAGCGTACCGAAGCGTCACGTTTAGGTCTCAACAACATCCTTGTGTTGCTCATTGGTGGTATTCCCATCGCCATGCCTACCGTGTTGTCTGTCACCCTGGCCGTCGGCGCGCAACAGCTTGCCAGCTACAAGGCCATCGTCACCCGTATCACTGCCATCGAGGTCCGTTCATCTCGCGCGAGGTCTTATCACACGGTCTGACATCCTGCACAGGAACTTGCCGGTGTTACCATTCTGTGCTCCGACAAGACTGGTACTTTGACCACCAACAAGCTCACCATTGATCGCCAGACCCTGGTTACTTACTCGTCAGCTGGTTGCCGCTTTTCTTGAGCCCTGGCTGACGTCTTCCAGGTCTTTCTCTGCCGACGACGTTATCCTTCTGGCTGCCTACGCGTCTCGCACTGAGAACCAGGATGCCATCGACACCTGTGTTGTTGCCTCTGTCGGTACTGAGCGCGCTCGGGCTGGGATCAAGCTCTTGGACTTCAAGCCGTTCAACCCCGTTGACAAGCGTACCGAGATCACCTACCGTGAGGAAGCCACTGGTATGTTTCCGAAGGCTCGTTACGGTTGAAACGCAGTTGACGTGTGTGCTAGGCAAGCTGAAGCGTGTCACCAAGGGCATGACTGGCGCCATCATTGAGCTTTGCACCCGCAACAAGACTGAGGAGCTCGAGGCCAAGCTCGAGAAGGACGTCGAGGAGTTTGCTACCCGTGGACTGCGTTCTTTGGCTGTCGCCTTCGAGGAGCTTGAGAGCACCGACCACGAGGCTGAGGGCAACGGGTGCGCAGTTTGAGTCCGGCTCGCGCTGGCTTTTGCTCAACGATCCCAACAGTTTCGAACTCATCGGTCTTCTGGCCATCTTTGATCCTCCCCGTGATGATACCAAGCAGACCATCGACGATGCGATGGCTCTCGGTGTGAAGGTCAAGATGGTTACTGGTGATCAGGTACGGCAACCCCTAGGCTGCTGTCGATCATCGGCTTATTTGTGTGCAGCTCGCTATTGCTAAGGAAACTGGACGTCGTCTCGGTCTCGGTGATCACATGTACCCTGCCAAGGTTCTCAAGGACGGACCCACGCCCGGTGGCAAGCACGCGACTCTGGATGAGATGATCATGGATGCGGACGGTTTCGCTGGGTGCGTTTTCAAGGGTCGCGTGTTGCTGAGGGTGATATTGACGACGTTGGCAGTGTCTTCCCCGAGCACAAGTACGAGATTGTCAAGCGTCTCCAGGGTCTCGGCCACCTTTGCGCCATGACCGGTGACGGTGCCAACGACGCTCCCGCTCTTTCCCGTGCCAACGTTGGTATCGCTGTCGAGGGTGCCACTGACGCTGCTCGTGGTGCTGCCGACATTGTGCTTACCGAGCCCGGTCTTTCCACCATCGTGCACGCCATCCGCGGCTCCCGTGTCATTTTCCAACGTATGCGCAACTACTCGATCTATGCCTGCGCTGTGACGATCCGTATCGTGGTCTGCTTCGCCATTCTGGCCTTTGCGTACAAGTTCGACTTCCCGCCGTTCATGATTCTGATCATCGCGCTTCTCAACGACGGAACGATCATGACCCTGTCTGTTGACCGTGTGCTGCCGAGCAACACTCCGGACTCTTGGGACTTGACCGAGATTTTCTCGTACGCTGTGGCTTACGGATTGTACCTGACCATGTCCACGTGAGTTGTTGTCCCGCGTCTGTGGCGGTCCGCTGTGTTCTGACGGATACCTTTCCAGTGTTGCGTTTGTGATCATCATCCTCGAGACGACCTTCTTCCAGGACAAGTTCGGTGTCAGCCTTGAGACTTTCCCTGTGCAGCACAACGACCGTCAGCTGCACATGGTTGTCTACCTGCAGGTGGCCATCATCTCGCAGGCGCTCATCTTCGTCACTCGGTCGCACAGCTTCTTCTTCATGGAGCGTCCGTCGACGGCTCTGTTCTGCGCGTTCTGCATTGCCCAGCTGATCTCGAGTATCATTGCGGTGTACGCCAACTGGGGCTTCACTCAGATCCAGGGTGTCAGCGGTGGTTGGATCGGTATCGTGTGGATCTGGGTGAGTCGCGTGTCTGCCTGTGTGCGCGTTGGTCTTTTTTGCTGAACGATGTTTGCAGGACATCCTCTGGTTCGTGCCTCTGGACTGGATCAAGTTCGCGATGAAGGCGACCGTCATCAAGCACCTGCGGGAGCGCCGCGAGGCTGCTGCTGCTGTTGTTGCCGCCTCCACCGACGGTGTTCCGATGACGAGGACCCAGTCCCGTGCGGCGTCTCTCCACGAGAGCTTGTACTCCAACCGTGTCAGCTTCATCAAGCGTGCTGCCCGCAAGGTTGGCTTTGGGCAGAAGCTGTCGATCAAGCCCGAGGAGCTCCAGCGCTTCAGCTCGATCCAGGCGCAGCGCACGGGTGCCACGCTTGCGCGCAACCCGTCGCGGACCCCGGCATAGATCCCGCCGACGATCGTCCACAATACACTCTAGACCTGCCCTTGACTTGTACAACAGACGTCCGATATACGACTGCTACCCTTCGCTTGACGATGCGCTATCCTCCTGCACCCTATTTACCCAGCATACCATCAGCTTCAACCTCATCCTTATTCTGCCCATCTTCTTTGCGATGCCTCGCGCATCGCTACCGTAATAGTTTCTCATTAATATGGAGGCTTGGTGTCGATAGATAGCATGGTACGATACGACTGACGACTATGTTGACTCGCCATATTGCCTTTGAATACAAAATGAATGTGATGGATGTATTAAATTTACTGTGACACTAAGAGGAAGAAACTGTTCGTTCAATCACTGCATCCCGCATTCCTTGGTCGTCTGGGCGCTTGCTCAGTCTCGCGCACACCCGGCATAGATGACGCGCAGCCCACCTGATGTCGCTTCAGCGCGTCCTTCCGCGAGAACGTCTTGCCGCATCCGTGGCACTCGAACGGGCGCTCGCCCGCATGCGTCATCTTGTGTCGCTTCAGATCGTGGTTGCGGTCGAACGACAGCGCGCACTCGTCGCACGGGAACGCCCGTGTCGGCGACGACGGATACTCTCCGCCGTGCATCGGTGGTGGTGGTGCGATGTACGATCCCGGGTAGCTCATTCCGCCGTACTGCTGCTGCTGCTGTGGGTCTGACGAGGGCCAGTGCGAGCTCGCTGGAGGCCCGTACCCGTAGGGTGCTGCGTAGGGCGCCGGCGAGGTCGGGCTCGCCGGGTATCCCGCCACCGCCGCCGCCTGGGGAGAGCTCGGTCCTGCCGAGCCGTAGTAGCTCTGGTGCTGGTGCTGGTGCTGGTGCTGGTGCTGGTGCTGGTACGACGCTGCTGACGAGACCGGCCTCGGTTTCGGCTTCGGTTTCGCACTCGGGTCCGGTGGACAGAACGGGAATGTCGTCTGTGCGAGAAGCGATCTGATGTCAGTATGTATGTATGCAGCAGCAGCAGCGCGCGCCCACTGGCGCGCGCCCACGCGCCTGGTGACGTTTCAGCGCGTCCTTGCGCGTGAACGACTTGCCGCAGCCCCGCTCGCACACGAACGGCCGCTCGCCGCTGTGCGTCTCGATGTGCCGCTTCAGATCGTGGTTCCGGTCGAACGACAGCGCGCAGAGGTGGCACGCGAACTCGCGGTCGGGGGACGCTGGATACTCGACGTAGTACGATTGCGACGCCATCGAGCGCAGCAGACCCTCCACGCCCTATATAAATCAGGAACCGTCGATGTATCTGCCAGCGCCTGCCATCCGGATCGAGCAGCCCATGGGGGTGCAGACCATACATAGCTCGTCCCTGAGCCCCGCCCCGGGGAAATACCCAGTCGAGCACCATCTTCTCTCGACATTGGCCCGGCAGATCCCATTTCATTTCGCCGATGGTCGTTAGACGATCTGCCGGAACAAGGACCGGGCTAGGTGACCGTCAAGATCTCAGCAAGCAGAGGAACAGACTGGGCGTCCTGGCGCAGATGCTATCACCGTTCGTTGCACAGTCAGACCCAGAACAGCCGGAATGGGAGCGACTAGACAACGGATGCTTGATAACGGAATCTAGCGAGATGGCGAAAGTTTGTCGATATCCCCGGTGATCTACAGCCCCCTCGTGTGCCTCGCAAGACGGGCGAGAGCTGTTAATTTACTTGATGAACCAAGCGACCGGACGTGCCCCTCGAAACGGCCAGAATTTCGGCCGTCTTTTATGATCAGCGCTGCGCTGCGCTTATTCCCCAGATATCCACCGGGTCAATCAACATGCGTCATCCCCTCATCTATTGCGTCGCGCTGGCCGTCAGATCGAGCGATGGAGCCAGTGCCACGCGCAGTCGGTTGCTCTGCTAGACTCAAAGAGTTGTCTCACCGGCGCTCAACTACAGAGTAGCTGCTGCTTCGTGTGCGAACAACATTGATTGATATGATACAATCCCCGTGTCGTCGAGTTCTCGGTATCATGGCAGGCGAGGCTTCTGGTTACCAGAGTGATTCAAGGATTGCGGCTTGTTTCGTCCGTCTGCTGCCATTGCCCTGTTCTTACACTTGACCCAGACGGAGAGTTGTGCGGACTCTCGAGCCCCTGCTTTCACCGGTGAATCAGAGGTGTCGGGGCTTTTGACCAGGCGACACGAGTCAGATAGTATAGCCAGACGCAGACACGCAAGGTATGCATCAGTGGTGGATCTTGACGTCGTCGTTGCTGCACAGAACAGAACGTCAGAACGCAGCGCCCCTAGTGCGGGGACTGCCACGAATTTTGTTCGTGCTTATGACTACCGGCATCCGAGCCCGTCAACCGGCGTTCACGATGTGAGCCGGAGCGATTAATACATGCGGTCCAGAGTTCCAGCGAGATTGTGTCAGATTGGGTTACATGGTGGGCAGTTGTGAGAAGGTTGGGACTTGGTGTTTCAAGTCGCATCACGTGTCATTGATTTGGTGATAAGATAATCTGCAAGTTGTTCTCGACAATCATGGCTGGATCGAAATTCGCCCATGGTGCGGAACTTTGAGCTTCCTGATCCTCTACTACCTAGGAACTACAGGGTGCTCAGACTCGACGAGCACTCTTTTCATCGGTATGGCAGTGCTCAGGACACCACTTCTGCTCTCACTCGAGCTGCGCCAGTTTCTCAGACGAACACGGTTTCACGAAACCGAACGATGCATGACCTCTGAAACCCATGGATCATGCTGCTCGCGATCTCATGGATCAGCACGTTGACATTGTCCTCTCATTCGGCGAATTGGATGAGATGAGGTGGGCGCAAATACCCAGTCCTGATATCTCAATTCTGGCACTTCGGCGCTGGCTTCCTGCTAAGAAAGTCAGGCTCATTTTAAAAACGGAGAGAAGCCAAGATACTCTCGACGCTCGCCTCGTTCTTCACCTCGTCCTACGTGTTCCACTGCACGACATACTGTCCAGACACACTACTAAAATATCTCCCATCGTTCGATGGCAGAATCGTTCTGTATCCCAGTGAAACCCAGATCAGAGACTACTTTTCGTGGCGGCAAACAGACAGTGAGTAACTTACGGTCGAGGCTGTGGAGGGCGCCACACTCAGCGCACATCAACAATCTGTAAAATACCGCCTTCTGGGTCCAACGGGGCGGAGAGAGCACCACCCAGGCCCATTCTGTGCTGAAGGTGAGCTCTCAGTGTCCATTGCAACAGCGATCGTATCGCTTAAGGTCTTTTGCAGGGAACGCTGTCGAAACAAAAGCACGAGCGCTTATTTTCTCGATTCCAGATCAACTACAACGCTCTGGATGCTCGATTCCGCAAGGACAGTGTCCTCGTACGAGGAGGTCTGTGATCCACTGCCCTTCCACTGCCCTGGCTAGGTTGGAGCCCAATGCTGATCACCTGCCAGATCCCTAGTTCTAAAGCCGATCCCTCGCGTGAAGTGAAGCCGGAAAATCGAAGAGTCGGACTAGGATCGTTACCTTCCTCAGATGCCAAGTTGCGAGATCTCCAGACTATTCAGGAACAAATCTGCCCTTGGATCTCCATGCCAAATCTTGGGAAGTGTCGACGATGAATGAATTAATCAAGTTGCATGCGATGAAGACGGCTGCAATTGAAGAACCTGTAGCAAAACGATAAGCCTCAACAGGCGCAAGCTGTCGACTGACTGTTCTAGATCACTCCAGAGTCCTATGAGCAATCATTGGAGCTGTTGAGGCTTGACCGGTGCCTCAAATCCACCGGCGGAGGACCAAAGCTAGGAGCAAACTGAATGTTGGCATAATCCAACTCAACTTCCTCCGAATCGCATGCGGTCCCGTAGAGATACTCGCTGAAGAGGAAATTTGGAGCAGAGTCCGCCTCGATACATCACGCTTGACTGTGACCTGAGAATTAAGTTGAGAGCGGGTCCCGGCTCGGTTCATCACGCGGATCATCATTAATCTGACTTGCACCGACTCAGATTGAACGCTTTGATTCCTGGAACCGCTACATACTCCCTCACAATCGTCCTTCTGATTCAACAGCACGTCTTAGAATCCAGCCAAATGTCCAACGAAGAGCACGATCTCACCACGATCTCGGGCGTCAAGGCTTACCTGGAGCCCACCCACTTCAAGGCCGCGGATGTGCACGTCCTCGCGGGAGGGCACGGAAATTTCACCTACCGCCTCTTTCTGCAGACCCCGCTTGACGGCCGCGCGACGGTGGTCATGAAACACTCGAAGTCGTATTCCGCGACGAATCCGCAGTTCTCGCTGGATCTGGCGCGCCAGGTGCGTGCTACCTCGGAGGCGACGACGGTTGTCGCGTCGCGCACGGGCGGGGGACTCACTCCTTGGCAAGACCTTCGAGGCACGCGCTCTACGGCAAGTCAGCGCCAATGTCGCGTCCCTTCCGGCGCGCGTCCCCGCCGTCCACCTCTTCGACGAGGACAAGCACGTCATCATCATGGACGACGCGGGGACTGAATCGACGACACTGAAGAGCCTGTTCCTCTCCACGAATCCGCCTCCCGCCCCGCTGGCACGCGACATCGGGTCCGCGATCGGACAGTTCCTCGGCCGCCTCCACTCGTGGGGGAGCGGGAACGACGCGGCGATGGATGAGTTCGCGGGCAACGACCTGGGCAAGGCGAGCGCCCCATGCCCCCCTCTCTCCGGCTGAATCTGATCGACGGAATCCAGAGGATCACCAGCTGGATAACGTACGGGATGATCCTCCCGACGCTCACGACCACCGAAGTCCCCGCCGTGGCGCTCCTCCCGGAGCCCGTCTCCGCCTCGGATCTCGCGAACCTGCGCGCCCTCGTCGAGAAGCGCACGGACCAGATCCACCGCGCCCGCGAAACGCTCACGATGGGCGACTTCTGGACCGGCAACATCATGGTGCTGCTGGCCGACGCACAGGTCGACCGCATCACCGTCGTCGACTGGGAGCTCGTTAAGCCCGGCGTCGCGGCGCTCGATGTCGCGCAGTTCTGCGCCGAGATGTTCGCGGTGGTTCTCTTCGCTGACGAGGGCTCGGTTGCCCAGGACTCGGCACGCGTGCTAATCGACGCGTTTTTGACGGCGTATGCGGGAGCATATACCGTGAAGCATGGGGTAGATGGGGAGAACAGAGCGACCGTGGCCGCGAGACACTTGGGGGCGGTGAGCTAACTTCGTCGATGATTTTCAATTCCTGGCATACTAACGTGTCTTAGCATCTTCTGACGATCACAACTCGGTACGGTTGGGGGAGCACACCGGAAGAAACGTTCAGAGCTGTCAAAACGGGCCTCGAGTATCTACAACACGGCCAAGACGAGGACTGGGTTCGCAACAAGTCGATTTTTGCACCGTTATTATGATGCAGGCTCAGAAATTAGGACTCAATGGAGAACAACTGTATCATTTGCAAGTCTGCCAATGCCGGAACTGGGGACTCACCACAAAACGCGGTCACGTGCGCCGATTGAGATTGAACTTGAGCTTGTCCGTGCGACCCGAGTTTTGATCTCCAACGGCTTTGATTGCGGGGTTCCCTCAACCCAATCGTACGAGCATGACACCTGCGGCGACTGGTCCTGATAAGGATCCCAGTGGAGTGCGAGGTCGGGATATGGCCTGGACGCATAGCGGGGACGGAAATCTGCCGGTGGAGCGAGCGTATATGGCAAACTACCGCATCCGAGTTCCCCCGTCCTACCACCTGGCAGGATCGAAATTTGTTCCCAGTCGTTCCAGGACCGGCTGGGTGAAACGTCATCCAGTGAAGTGGCGGGAGGGACCGTGATGGCGCTGGGCACAGTACGCGTCAGCGACCACCGGAGATAATCCGAGTCGACGCTTTCGTTGAGCACCGTGCTCGTGTTGTATTCGCACACCAGCCCCTTCTCGGTGCACCGTCGACAAGTGGGCGAAATATTCCGCACATCCGGAGGGCTGCACTGGACGACAGCATAGACGCAAATCAAGTTCAGCTCCCCGCTAGATAAAGAAGCTGACGCACCCGGACTTTGCGCTGACGGCAGTGCCTGCAGGCTACGACTGTGCGCCGGGGAGCTCTGAAACGAGCGGTTATGGTTGCTGAGGACATGTTCAAGTTGGATGAGAAATGAGCGGGAAATCTACAGATGATATACAGAGGCGGTCATCATTCATAAGCAACACTACCATTTCTGCGTAGCTCAGCGGATTACCCAAGCCCGTCTGATGAGAAACGGGCTTGATAATTGATAATTGGGAGGTTGTGATCCGTTGACCATCGGTGATGATAGGCGTGGTGCCATTTACGACTGACTAATCACATGAGACAGGAAATGTACTGTGAGATTTGTAGAGATCATGAGCTAGGTTACAAGTACAATGTTCTCAGCAAGCTCCTTCCTCCCGGGTGTAAAACGCTTCAGTCGACCCAGGTAACCCGATCGAGATCCAGTTTCGCATGAGGAGTATAACTGCCTCCTCCGGCCTCCATCCGCATCTTCACACTGCGATGGACCCTGACCCCATTTTTCGCCTGTTTCGGCACATGCCGTCCCTGGCCCAGATTCATCCCGAAGCTCGTCGCCCACACCGTGTCGTTGTCGCGCTGGTAGTGTTGCCGGAGCGGCAGCAGCTCGAGCAGCCACCAGAACCACTTGAGCGACAGCTGGTCGTAGATCGGCGCGAGTGCGTCTGCACGATCCAGCTCCTCCTCGGACTTCACGGAGAGTGCTCCGTCGCGCGCTGGCTGCTCGGGCTCATGTGTGTGCGCAACGGAGCGCGGGATCGACTGGATCTTGGCACCGTCGAGAGGGAGCGGCGCCGGGCGGGGCTGCACGACAGGGTACAAGCAATCCGGATCCAAGCCGATACTGCGCAGTCCGTCCGCGTCGAACAAGATCCCGCTGTTTGTCTTGAAGCATTCCCGAACCATCCAGCGCAGCGGAATCCGCGCCAAATTCGTCGTGGTCTCGTTGTCGACCGAGCCGCCGCCGACATCTGGCAGGCGATCAGGGGCGGGCGGTGACCGGCTCGAGGCTCAGACGCACCGCAATGACACCCGGCAAACCAGACCTCGTCGATGTCCGTCTCATCCGGCCTGTCCTGCGAGAAATGCCGCTCGATCCGCATCTGCTGGCGCATCCCGCCGCGATTCGCATGCGGGTGCGCGTGGTTGCCGCCGCCGTGGCGGTGGCGCTCGATCTGCTGGTCGGTCACACTGAGCAGACGCTCGTGGTCGTTCGGCCGGTTCCACAAGTTCGGCTTGAATTTCGCCCGGCGCTCGTCGAGCGAGACGGCGTGCCGGAAGGTGCGGACGATGGTGTTGGAAGTCGTGAACGGCAGGCTTCATTAAGAATGTCGTGTCAGTCGAGATGACGAGAGGGATGCGAGGAGAAACTCACCGGCGGGGGATGAGACCGACGGAGCTGACGGTGTCCCAAACACCGATAAATTCGATGTCCACGTCAATCGAGAAGGCCTGGAATGCACATCAGCTTCAGTTGAGCCGGGCCCGAGCGTCATCGCAATCACCTTTTTGAATGCATTGGATTGCTTCCAGCCCTTGACGTCGGTCGTTGTGTACATCTTGTACGCAAACGGGATCTGCTGGTGATTGCACGCCGGGAGAAGGCCGACCTAGAAGGGGCTTAGCTCTCGAGATCAGGGTCCCTGTTATGTAACGCGATGAAGGTACTTTATGGAGCATCCCGGCCAAACTGCGCTCATGAAATCAGGGGGGAAGATCCACGGCAGAGGATCAGACACACCTGCGCGCAGTGTAGGCACCGCGAGAGAAGCCAAAGATGCAGATACGATCGCCAGCGCTGTCTATGCTCCGCGTGAGCCAAGGCAGAAAACCAGTCGGATGCGATACATACAGTTTTGCATGAGAAACTCGTAGCCACCTTGTCAGCGCAAAAGGGGAGGGAAGTCAGCAGGTGCATCCCGTTCAGTGTGTAGCGCGGCGCGGCTCTCGTACCCATCACATGCGAATGCAGGTTCCACGCGATCATCTCGTCCAGGAGCTTGGAGAACCGCGACATCATCGGGGTCGCGATCTCGGGCGTCGTGTACGTCCCGATGCCCGCCTGGTAGTACACCATCTGGCGCTCGCGGTCGCCCTTGGGCAGCATCGAGAAGAGCTGCACGATGTTCGAGTTGTCCGAGTCGAACTGGTCCCCGGTCCCTGTCAGTCAGTCAGGCAAGCTCGTGAGCGAACGGGGGAGCGGATGGGCCAGACCATCGAAGCAGAGAACGAGAGTCCGAAACGGGTGGTCAGGGGGCACGATCTTGCTCTGCGTCGCGGAGCCGGGCGATTGCGGCGGGGACTCCGGGACCATAGTGTCGCGCGAGCTCACCATGGAGGTCATCGTTCTGGTGAAGACTCAGATGTACTATCCAAGGGCCTTTTAAATCCACCCTCCTTCCTCGGCTGTGGAGCTAACGGGGATGCTACTGGCTTCATATCACGCTATGGTGTAAGCGGCGTGTGGATCGAGCCGCCCGCGGACCCTACAAGGCGCCACTTTGGATAGAGAGCGGCCAAAACTGCTTGAAGCTTGGACCTGAGGGATGATGGATGATGGGCGAAGCGAAGAATAGCGGCAGTCGGCGGGACAAGCGAAGGGCTTGTCCAATCAATTGCAGTCAAAGAATGTTGTCAAGACAAAGTGTCAGAAGCAAGGTATGCATAGTAGGGTCCGAGTCCATGGCTACAGCACGGGTACAGAGCGTAAGTACATGCAGTCCAACGATTTCTCTGTAGCAGAGAAATCTGAGTAGCCAAGCATCTCCCTGAGACGGGCGGTTTTGAGGTTAGAATCAGATCAAAGCTGCGGCAGCGAACAAGGCAACGAGCAGCGCCACAGAGACAGGAACCCGAGTCACCACAGCATCGCTCTTTCCGCCCGTCGCTTGTGCAGCCCCAGCTGAGCCCGTACCAGAGCCCGCAGAGCCTGACGGAGATGCAGACGCCGACGCAGATTGGTTCGAGATGTCTAAGAGATCGGATTAGGCATGAGACAACACGGCAGCAACGGCACTGACATTGCTGGAAGGTCTGGAACGTGATGTTCTTCTCCGCGTAGGGGTTGCTCTCATTCATCGCAACAGCGATCGGGACGATATGCTGTCAAGATCTCAATACAGGAATAGTGCGAAACAACGTCGAAAACACCCACAGAAAACGCCTTGGACAGAGCCGGGTAGTTGTCCACCGCGATTTGCATGGTATAGTTGTTCAGCTCATGCGTGAGCATGATCGCGCCCGCGGTGTCGTACTTGCCGTTCTGCACGTCGGAGATGAGCGAATCGTAGTTGCCCTGCACCGTCGCGTTCGTGATCCCGTTCTGTCCATTCTGCCACCACGTCAGTCCTTCAGTTACCAGTGCGGACGATGACACAAATACCTCCCAATCAAAGGAATCTCGCTGCCAGATAATCGTGGTCAGGTTGAGTGCCTTGGCGATGAACCGGATGCGGTCGTCCACGTCACCGAACGGCGGCTGCAGGTCATCCGTGAGTGCGATGAACCCAGGCAGGACGAGCAGCTTACCCTCCAGCATAGTGGTGTGACGCCAGTGACCAGCTTGATGGCCTTGAGCGCGTACCACAGCTCTGCGAATGCACCTTCGTTCGTGAAGGACGTCATGTAGTGGTGCGACCACGTGTCTGGAAAAAAAGAGCAGAAAAGCGCAGGTCGTCAGCAACAAGGTTGGAACGACCGCGATCGCCATCGGACTCACGGACGCAGATCTGGTGCCCATCGGCGACTGCGCGCTGCGCCTCCAGCGGGTGGTTCATCACGTTCGAGCCGATATAGAACATCGCTGCAGCCGGCATCAGCCCGTGGTGGAGGGTCTGCATGAGGACGAAGCACGTACTCGCTTTCTGGTTCTGCTGCGTCAGGTAGTCGTAAAACGCATTGTGCGAGCAGTTGGGCCCATCGTCGAATCCATACCCGAGCGTCTTGGGCTGGACAGAACGGTGGCATGTCAACCCACGATGTCAACAGAAGACGAAACACAAAGCACCACACACCTCCGGAACGTTCGCAATGTCTGGCGGGAGCCCGGGCCACTTGGGCGTCACGCACTGGTGGAACGTCCACCAGCAATCCGGGTCGCTCACGTTGTACCCCGGCGTGAACGCGCTGAAGTCGCCGAGACTCGTGCCCTGCGGCGGGAACGGCGGGATGCTGCTGTTGATCGACTTGAACAGGGTCTGGCCCTCGGTGTCGCTCGGGAGCAGCGCGGTCGCAAGGCTCCACACCGTGGGGAACTGCGCGAGGGCGTTGGTGACCGGGGCGTAGGAGTACGGGCTGCACTCGACGACGGGATCGCTGATTGCGGCTTCGCCGGACTCGGAGGTGCGGTCCTGTGCGAGCGCGTGCGAGGAGAGCAGCGAGAGCGAGAGGAGCAGGGTTTGTGCGCGGTGCATCGTGGTGGGGGGAGGCCGACGGAGTGGCTGCTGAGGCGGCCTAGTAACCAGCTTGGAGAAAGTGAAGGCGAAAATGACGACGTGAGAGACGTCTCGTGCAGCCCCGTGCTTTGTGGAGCGATGTCATTTATAGACCACGGCGAAAGAGGGAAGAAGACCACATTCTGGGATGCCGGTCCTCGGCAAATTCGGCATTGGCATAATCACTTTCTTCCCATTTTAGATACAGGAGCACACGTGATGGCGAGCTAAATTTACTGTGAGCCCCTGTTCATCATCGTCTTCGACTACTGTATCCCTGAATGTCGATTAACCAAGCTTAACGCAGACCTCGAGCAATATTTCATAATAGACTAAAGCACAGACGAAGATCTCATACATACATACAAGCGTGGACGTAGCCAGCTAGTGTCCACATTGGGTACACGAAATTACAAGGGCGTTCAGATGACAAAACCACTATACACATCTGCACGCTAATCAATCGAATCCATTCGTATCTGTGTCTTCGCTATCTGCGACTCCAGAAATCTTTCGTTGTTCGACTGCACGTCGGTCTGGAATGCGCCAGTGAGCGGGGGGATCTAACGGAACAGGATGCGCCCGCCACTGACCACGATCGGACCAGGCCAGCTGAGAGCGACATTCTCCTCTTCCTCAGTCAAGCGCCTGCTGTAGAAAAGCATGTAAGGGCCAGCGCCCAGATGCAGACCAGTCGGATCCGAGATCACAGCGTCCTCGGAGACCTCAGTGACCTCGGCATCCGTCGTCTTCCACCATGTTCCGCGCGAATGCACGTAGGAGTAGGAATGCCGACGGCCGGGAAGACCGTCGTGGACCAGCACAGCACGCAGGTCGTACTGCACAGAGACCATCAGAATGCAGAGAGGAACAGATGGACCGCCGACCCACAGGATGTTTTCTCAGATCGTCATTGTGGACGATCTCTTCCAGTTCGTGTTTCAGCTCGGTGAGCTTCGCATCAAAGACTGATTGACGATGAGTGAACACTCAGCACGAAGGACGCGAGAGTGGCACCTTGGACAGCCGCTTCCAATTTGCCCAACGCTTCACCAAGTTTCTTGGCGACACCAGCATACCGTTCGGCGTCGCCGGGCCCTTTTGGTCGAGCGACCCGTTCGTAGAAGTCGATCGCCCCGCGCAGATTCTCCAACGCATCGTCGTCCTCGTCCAGGTCATTCCCCACGCTCGCAGAGTGAGAGACAACATCCACACACCTCGAACCGCGTTATCCTCCTCCTCTCAGCCTCTATCTGCTCGATCTCCCTCCTAACCTGCTTCTCCGCCTTGCGCGTGTCGTTCGCCAGCTTGAGATTCACGGCCAGGAACTCGTCTAGATACATCGTCTTCGGGTACACCAGCGGCTGCGGCTCCGCCCCACCGGACGACGACGCCGCGGCCGGGGGAAAGTTGATCTGGAAGGTGACGACGTCCGACGGCTGCACGATCACCTGGTGCGTCGATTCTCCGTCGGAGAGATCGTTCAGCGTGTCAGCCAGACGCCCGACCAGATTGTTGGCTGCCAGATGTGGAGTGGTGGACACGCTGACGATGTGGCCGTCGTCGCCTTCGTTGGCGCTGTATTCGGGTTCTCCGGTGCTGGGGATGCGTACGTGGCCGTACGTGAAGTGGAACAGACGCGCGGCCCTTGGGAAGAGGTGTCAACTTTGAGCGCATGTGCAATCAGCACGCCGTCCACGCACGATCTATCATCCAGTTTCTGGGCCTCCAGCTCGGCTTGGACGACCTTGACGATCTTGTCCAGAAGCACTGTCTGACGTCACTTCGAGTAGCTAGTAGGAAACACAGAGCTGACCTTTGGAGAGCTCCTCGACAGACACATCCCGCGTCAGTCGCGCCGCGCGCCAGATGGCGAGCAGTTCTTCGTCAATGAGCGCGGAGACCTGCGCCAGGTCCAGGTACGTGAACATCTCCACGAGCTTCCACACCGCATAGTCTGCGAGACGTGGTCAGCGAAAGAAGCGGAAGAGGCAGAGCAAGTACTCTTGCTGTCGTTGTCAGTAGCATTGGGGGGCAGTTGGAGTAGAGACAGCTTGTGCCGCACTTGCGGGATATGGAAGAGCGCTTGGATGACCAAAGCAGCGTATGCGAGATCAGGAGAGTCGCTCCGCAACGCGATTGGCCTGGTGAACATCGGCAAGGGATAAAGACGCAACAGCATGAAGCCCCGCACCTCCCGTCTTCCCGAACACCAATCTTCGCATCATCGGTCTCGTCCGCCATCGCCGCGTCCTCGTAGCTCGCCCGCAAAGCAGCCGCATACTCATCGTCCGCAGAGGGCTTCACCGCCGTCACCGCCGTGGGCGTCGTCGCACGCGCCAGCACCATCTGCATGCCCGGATCCGGGGACCGATTCGTCGCGCGGAACGCCGACTCAGACTCGCGCATCGCGCGCGCCAGCTCGTCCTCCTCCCCGTCCCCGCCCTCGCGGGGCTGCGGAGCCGTCTTCGCCCAGATCGCACGCAGCTCGCGGATCTCGTCGCCCTCCGCTTCCGCCGGCGGCCCCCCGGGCTCCTGCAGCAGCGTGTGTATCGCGGCCTGCACGTCGCCGCGCGCCTGCCGCAGCACGCGCAGCGCCTCGTCGAAGGAGGCGCCGGAGAACTCGGACACCTGCGTCGCGTCGGTGATCTCCCTCTCGGACAGCGAGTCCATGTGCGCTTGGACTTCTTGGGCGCTCAGCGGGGTTGCCGTCATCGATGTTCCGGCGTCGGGGGCGGCGAGATGTGATTCGTCAGCATCAGATGGCTGTCCGCACGTGCGCTGTCTGATGCTTATCGGTTCGTCGTTTCCGGAGAGATCAACTGTCGAACTCCTCGCTATTCCCTCATAATTAAGCACTTTAAGTGATGTATCTGTTAAGGGGTGAGAAAAAATGCAGCTGAAAGACCAGAAGGCCAATTCTTGTGAATCATCACTCGTAGACACTTGGGGCTGATCAGAGGGTGGTTTAAATCCACCTCAAAGCATCCGAACTTTCAATTGAAAGCCTTCGCTTCCGTTTCAATAGTTGCATTGCAATCGATCAGCTGTGCTTGCGGAGTGCGTCATTTACTGGGTACAATATCACGATTACAACAAGACAAGTACAAGGAATGTAGTTACAATACGGAATTCGAGGTAAGTGAGCCTCAAGCGTGCTCGTGCTTGGCCACCTGCTCTCTATATCTCTCTCTCCAGTCTCCCACCTCCTTCATCGCCCTGTCCAGATAGCCGATACGTCGAGCAAAGCGTTCCATGTCCCGCCCGTTGTAGTAGTTGTGTCCGCCGCGCGGATGCAACGGAGGCTCGACCGCGTCCTCGCTCAAATCAACGTCAAAGAGGGAGTACTCTGCCAGCGCCTCGGGAACGCGGTAGAGGCGCCCTTGCACAAAGTAGTACGGGGCCCGCGCGAAATGCCGGTAGCCAAGAGCCAGCGGCGGGAGGGCGGGTATCCCGTCGTTGTATATCTTCACGGCGTACTCGACGATAGACTCGCGCCCGTGCCTCCCGCGGCGCTCGGAAACAAGCGCATTCCAGAACCCGACGAGGGTGTGCGTGCCGGACCGCGGGCTGCCGAAGCCGACCAGGCGGATCGGGATGCGGCCGATCGGGGCGAGGCTCTCATCGCGCAGGAGATCGACGAGGAACAGCTGGGAGAGGGCGGCGCCCATGCTGTGGCCGGTCACCACGACCTCCTCGACGTCGTGCTCGGCCAGGCCCTTGCGCAGGGCGTCCAACGCAGGCTGCTTCGCCCCCTGGTACAGCTTCCAGAACCCGGCATGCACTCTGCCGTGCTGCGACGGATGCTCATGCATCACGAGCTGGAGATCGTAGAGGGCCTGGTGGGGGCTGGCTGTGCCCTGGAAAGTGAGGATCAGCTGCTTGGTTTCCGGACGATATGCGCTGTATCCCTGCAGATGTGCTGTCTGCCCGAAGAAAGACGCTACCAGGTGCGACCCACGGAGAGCTGTGTATTTATCCAGCGGAAGGGTTGGTTCCATGAGAGCATCGAGATTCTCGAAGATGAATTCGAGGGGGATGGCGCTGTAAGCCACCTCCGCAAATTGGCCTTTGGAGATAGTTCAATGGGGCTGCGAACAGATGAGCAGAACGACACACCGACTTCAGAGCAATAATCCGACACTTCTTTCGGCGCCAGATCCTTGGCAGACAGGCCGTGCGGTGCGCAAGTTGCAAAGAGTTTGGAGATCCAACGAAAGTTCATCAGCTTCTCCATCGCGTACATCTGCACCTGCTCGTCCGTGAGCGTGTGCTCGTCGCGCATCCCCACTGGAAGAGAGATGTTAGAGAGTCTGCCCATGGCGCTGGACGTCGTGGTTGTGCGTCGTGTCCCGCAGCGTTGACGTACAGCCCGGTTCACGAGACTGGTTGCGTCATACCACGTGACCGTATACAACCCATCCATGAACTTGCAGCGCTTCCATCTGAGCTAAGCAGGGCTCATCCATGAACTTACCCCTCAGAATCTCGCACCGGCACGAGAAAGTAAGTGACGCCTGGCAGCTGCCTGGGAGTCCCAAGTGCTGAGATCTCGGAGACAGTAAGTAGGTCATACTAGCCGATGCGAGACAACAGGGGACACGGCGCTGACAGGTCCGACGATGGTCTCTGTCCCCGGGGTGTGGAGGCACCTTACAGCATTTCCGGTGGGATCGTCCCCCGCGGGCGATACTCCGGCGAGTTGCGCGAGGGAAAGACGTGCCCTGTCGTGGGTGTGTGTGGCATCAAGTTCAAATTCCCTGTTTAGCTCGCAAGTTCGTATATAGGTCTGCTGTTCGTCGCACGGAAACACCGGTGGAAGAGACGGAGAATGCTTCTGGAGATCATCACGGGCGGGCAGGCGAGGCTCCCGCGAGTATGCCGGGTTCAAATTCCCTGTTTAGCGTCATTGTAGGTCTGCTGTTCGTCGCACGAAAACACCGGTGGAAGAGACGGAGAGCGCTTCTGGAGATCATCGCGGGCGGGCGAGGGAGGCTCCCGCGAGTTTTCTGATTTCCTCGTTGGATCCAGCAGCTTCGACTCCCAGCTGGAGTGGAAGTGTGGAGACGAATATGCCTGATCCCATCAGAGACGGACGACCCATTTTCAGCCCGCTTGGATACCAAATGCAGTCTACCCGAATTTCTTCTACGGTCGCTTGTTGCTCGAGGCCAATGGCGGTCGCTTGTTGTTTGAGGCCAACAGCAGAACAGTAGCTATGCGAGACGTCACGATTCAGGGTTGATCAGGATAATCCGTTTCCTCTGATTCCAATCAAAGCCTTCTCTCGCGTTGCGTTCAAGCTATCTCACTGAAATTCCATCAGCTTCAAGTAATGTTACCGTATCCGAATATCGAGCCCGGTCTCGAAACGGATGAATCCTTACAGCAGCACTTCCGGTAGAATCGCCCCCGCGGGAGACACTCCGACCAGGTGTGCGAGGGAGAGACTATAACCGACTCACCGAGATTCGAAAGTACTGCTTGCACAGAGCTGCGCTCCCGCGTCGGCCAACTGACGGATACAGAAACGGCCCATCCCCGCACTCCGCCACCACGGGTCGACCACACCACCAATTATCGGGTGGACCCGTCTCCGGTGGGATCGCGCCCGCCGTGCGACGGAACGAGCCATAAATGACCGGAACTCGAGCCGCTTATGTGCGCAGCGCTGCGGCCTCCGTCGACTCACCGCGTGCATCGCAGACGAACGGACGGACATCATGCACTAAGTACCCCCCCGTCTCCGACTGGATACGTAACTGACCGGCCATCCCCCGAGTTGATACGCATCCGGGTGTCCCCGGCCGCGGCGGCACGGATTTCCAGGCAAGATCAGTGCAATCAAGTATTTTGCCGGGCGCTTCGGGCTTCGAAGTTCAACGCAAGAAAAAGAAGGATGGAGCAGTTTTATGTATGTCAAACGTCACTCGGCGAGGAGGGGGCGACGGGCATTTGGAACGGAGAGAAGAATCATCCCTATCTCGTGTGGACACAAGTACCCGGGAGAACACATCTACCGGACACTCGCTTGGCCATGGCTGCGCGTAACGAGGGCCGGGGAGCTGAGTAAGACTTAGTTTTTTTTTCGAGGCAAGGTTCATAATCTCTGGGCAGAACTCCGACTGGCGCGCACAGGTTCCATATCCATATCCAATTAATACAACGAAAGCCCATCGGGGGCCGCCGAGGTTCTCCCCGACAGCCCAAATTACTGCGACGCCGAAGAGGGCAGAACTCCGACCGGCACGCGCAGGCTCCATATCCATATCTAATTAATACACGAAGACGATCCACTGGTGACGATGTAGCGAGTGAATAGATGAGTCAATAACAGTAAGTATGCGCGCCGGCGCCCAGCAAATATACAGCTGCTGTGGCGCTCGGCTTTTAACGACGGTCGGGGGAGGGAGTGGCGTGGGCAGGTAAGTGTGATAATAATGTCAGTGCTCGGCGCATCCCATCGATCCATCCATCCCTGTACGATTTATGCACCGTCCGAATGATTCCTCGGCATCTCCTGCGCACGGAATCAGGATATATCAAGGACCGTCTGCGCCGCACGGCGACCCACCGGCGTCGGCTCGCGCTTTGCGAACGTGCCCTTCTTGAACGAGTCGTCGTCCATGAACGACTTGGTCTCGCGCTGCACGCGCACCGCGATGTTCATGTCCCCCGCCGCGGACTCGTCCTGCCGCGCAAAGACGTCCATCGACAGCTGCGTCGCGCTGCGCGGCCCGCTGCCGTCCGTCTTGATCCGGAAGTTGTTGTCCACATCATTGATGCGTCCCCGGATCACGGCCCGCGCGTTGAGACTTGCGAGCAGCGCGTTCGAGTACACTGGATGGGATACGATTAGCTATTTCTGCGCGCTAGGTTGAATGCCATGTGCCGAGTCACGCACGGCGTCCGATGCAGAAGTAGAATGCCGCGTAGATCAGTGTCCGTGGGGAGACGATCAACTGCATCCGCGTCAGTTATCGTCTCACGAGAGCGAATGTCACGCACGAATATCAAAGACAGAACAGCACAAAAGCTTCGGGGAAATGGAGGGTCAGAAGGTACGGTTGTCCACGTCGCGAGAATATCTCGAACCTGGTCAGCCTGACAACACTGTGAGCACGACGGGGTCCGGGGAGACAGGAAACAACAGCCGACTCACAAGCCTGTGTTGATGGTAAACAGGATCTGTGCGCAACAGCACATGAGCTTCGCGGGTTCGGTTTCGCTCGCCCGAAATAACTCACCAATCGATTCACAACTGACTCCGTTCTGGGTCCGGCATCAGACCTTAGCACCGCCAAAGTCGAGAGACAAGAATATCCACTCACTGCAAGGACGTCGGTCGCGTTTTCGCCAGCATATAGCACAACGTCGAAGTGATAATAATGTCGGCGGTGGTTGATAGCGCATTGATCGCAATCGTGAGCGGCTGAGTAAGCACGATCAGGGGGTTGGTGGGGGATCTCCGTCTGATGGAAAGCCGACAGCGTACCGTGATTCTCAGCAGATGCTCGTATGTTCCTGCCTGCAAACTAATCTCCGCGGCATCATCAGACCGCCGCCACAAGCATAAGACAGAGGGCGGACGTACGCAAGAACGACCCACGCCGTGCCACTGGCTGGGCGGGGCGAATTAGCACATAGCCGTGGGACACGATAGGAGAAAGCGCGCACTCACCTGCGGTTGCCAACACCAAGAGAACGATGGATCCCGTGAGAATGTAGTTGCGGTGGCTCACTATCACAAACGGCTCAGCACACCGCACAATTCAGCCCGGGTGGCAGAAAGCAGCCCCACTTTTCCAGACCCGGAACGCGTAGAATCTGATGCAGGAGTTCAGTATCAGTGATCCGAGCATCTGGGATGATGTATTCACGCTTGAACCAGTCCGCCTGTAACACCCTGCACACGCTCGTCAATACAATCCCGCGGGAGGATAGGTATCTCGCTCGATCGCTCACCGTGGGTAATGCCTCCAGCTGTGCCACAGAACAGTCAGATCACGCAAAGGTTGGACCACCCCGGCGACTCACGGAGACGCTCCTGTGAGAGATGAGCGCAGCACACACACAATGTATCTCCTCCACACGCACCAGATCATGACCCCCAGTGAATTGTGGTTGTAGTAGTCGGTGATCAGGTAGTGGTACACTAGCCGAATTCAGTCCACGGGAACCGAACGCAGGCATATCCTACCTGTGTGCACGACGAATGCCAGATGCAGACTGTCCAGGATCACAGTCAAAGCGACCTGCCGCGCCGTGAGCCGCTACCCCACAAACAAACTGCCCGCAGAACGCACCAGCGTCTTCAACCACCTTGGGTCCCGCTCATATCCTATACACCCCCGGCCGACGCGTTAGCGCGCACAGGACAAGCCGAGACGCGACGGAACGCACGGGTGAAGTAGAACAGCACCTGCAGCAGACTGATCCCGTACAAAATCGCGCTGACGATGACTCCCAGGAGCATGGCGCCCATCCTGTGTGTGTGCGCAGTCAGACTCGGGCCGCGGCGGCGTCGGCCCGACGTACGTGTTGTCCAGCGCCGTGCCAGGATCCAGAGTCGCGGCCATGGTCGATGGGGAGGTGGGTGGGTGGGTGGGTGGGAGAAAGAGAGTAAGTGAAGGATGGGGTGGGGAGACAGCCGGGCCAGTGCTCTGATTCGAATTTCGCTTATGAGTGTGCGAGGCACGTGGATGGGCGAGTTGTGGAGGGACGGACGCCTAGGGATTGATGGGAGTTCGGCTGGCTAAGAGTAAGTATACTTACAGGGTCTCAGAGCCACTTGAACAGATTACGGCGCCCGTCCTTCGAATCGCTCTCCCACCTCCCAATTTCAAAAAAGCACGAATTCCACGGCGTCCCCCGTCGAATCTAGCCCTGGGTTCTTGCATGCTTCATAAAGCGCCCGGATTTATGTGATCAGACCTTCTATCTTGGAAGATCTCAAGTATCTTGTGATTCTGTCACCGACCCAAAATATAACCATCAGTAATTCGGGAAACAACGTCAAGCCGCAGCCGAGGACTTCCCAAAAAGCCCCTCACTGGGTCGCCATAGCGAGCAGAGAATACGGAACCGCGCAAGGATATGAAACGCGTTGGATACCCTATGTTTCCGGGACGTACACGTGTGGCGCGGAAGGGGATTTCCCGGATAGCCTGGACGCCGTCATGATCCATGGGAAAGGAATTCCAACTGGGTTTAGTTTGGCGCGGCTGACGTGGGAAGAAAGATGGGACCCACGGATATCAAACGATATTCCATCCCGAACCCAGATCGTTTTCAGCATATGACGAGGGCCCGGCCGGCGCGCGTCGACGTTCCTCAATCCCTGTGTCCTTCCTTCCTTCCTTCCCAGTCCCCACCTACCCACCCATCGTCTCTCGCTCTAACCTATTTGTAAATGTCGTCGTCTCTCAGCGCACTCGTCGCGCCCGTCGCGGCGGGCATCATCTCTCTTGTCCTCGCGCGCCAGTATCTGCGGAAATCGCCCGCCGCGCCTCTGCCCCCGGGCCCGCGTGGGCTGCCCATCATCGGCGTACGTCCCCGCCGCCTCCGCGCTGCCCGCTTTCCGCTGACCGGTGGGCCCGCAGAACGTGCTCGACATGCCGGCGACGGAGGAGTGGCTGACGTTCGCGAAATGGGGCGCCCAGTTCGGTGAGGGGCTCGCGGTCCTTCGCGCTTGGCGCTTGACGCTTCTTTTGCTGATGGCTGATGCGCTCAGGGGGCTTGTGCTCCGTCAAATTGCTCGGCCAGCCCATCGTCGTCGTGAACACGGTGGAGGCAATGAACGCGCTGGACGCAAAGGGATCCGTGTTTAACACGCGTCCGAGATTGCCGATGGCGGGGGAGTTGGTGGGGTATAACAAGACGCTCGTTCTTTCTCCGTCAGTCCTCCTCCTGAGCTTGCAGAATTGTGGGCCTTACTTGCTTCCTTGCAGATATGGCCCGCGCTTCCGGGTGTACCGCAAACACTTTGCGAAACTGGTCGGCATGCCGCAAGTGTTGGTAGTCTCGGTCCGCGGTTCACAATTGTCAGCCTCACCCCTTGTTTAGCAAGCAGTTCATCTCCATGACGGAGCAGCAGACGCACAAACTGCTGAAGCGGCTGCTGACCAACCCAGAGTCGGACAAGATCGACGCGAAGATCCGCATGTGCGTCAGCTATGCCGTTCCGCTCCCCCATCCTCACGCGTTTGCAGGCACATTGGCTCGATCATCCTGCGCATCACGTACGGCATCGACGTCGCCGAGGAGGGCGAGGACCCATTCGTGGCGCTGATTGAGCACGCGAACGACAACTTCAACCGCGCAACCGCGCCCGGCGCGTTCCTCGTCGACGTCTTCCCGAGTCTGCTCTATATCCCCGAGTTCCTCGCGCCGTTCAAGCGCCTGGCGAAGGTGTACGCCAAGTCGACCACGGACATGGTGGAGATCCCGTACAAGTTCGCCGCCGATCAGGTGGTGCGTCCCCTTCCTTCCTGTGTTGGTGCGCGTCTGGAAAGATCTTGGATTGGAACAGCACGCGGGAACGGCCCCGGTCTCGTTCGTGTCGAGTCTGCTTGAAGGCGATGGGGACGGTAAGGACCTCGGCCCGCAGGACATTGCCGACATCAAGTACACTGCGAGCTCCCTCTACGGCGGTGCGTGTGTCTCCTCCCTCTGCGAGATGTGGAATCTGAGCGTAGTGCGCGGGTGCTGCTAGGCGGTGCGGACACGACTGCCGCTGACCTGTACGCCTTCTTCCTCGCCATGGTCCAGTTCCCCGGTACGTTTGTCCCCCCGCCCCCCACGCAGGGCCCGCCCCCAGAGACTCAGATATCGCCCCCTCCACAGAGGTGCAGACTGCCGCGCAGGCCGAGATCGACGCTGTGATCGGCGACGCGCGCTTGCCGACGTACGAGGACAAGGAGCAGCTGCCGTACATCCGTGCCGTCGTCAGCGAGCTGCTCCGGTGGCACAGCATCGCGCCGCTCGGCGTGCCGCACTGCGCTATCGACGACGCGGTCGTGGACGGGTACTTGATTCCGAAGGGGACGATCATCATCACAAACATCTGGTGCGCGCCTGCCTAATCAGGATCTGATTTCCCATCACTCAATGCTGATCGGATGATGCAGGCAGATGATGCACGATCCCGCGGTGTACCCGTCGCCCGAGACCTTCGACCCCACGCGCTTCCTGGGCGAAAACCCGCAGCAGGACCCGCGGGTGGCGTCGTTTGGCTGGGGCCGCCGCATCTGCCCGGGCCGCGAGCTGGCCGAGCTGAGCCTGTTCCACACCGTCGTCTGCGTCCTCGCCACGTTCAGCATCGAGCGGGCTCCCGGAGAGCTTCCGGTTCACAAGAACTTGCAGGGCACTATCAGGTCCGTTTCTCCTGAGTTCTCGCTGATGCAAAGTCCCTGAATATGCGCAGCCACACCAAACCGTTTGACTGCGTCATCAAGCCGCGCTCTGAACGATCCGTTGCCTTGATTTCTGACGAGGCCTGATCTTTTTGCACATAACATACATACCACTGCCCCGTCTCAGAGCACGCTCCTGTGTAGAAGACATACATCTTACATATATACATTCCCTAGCATACGTTAGTCGCGCGCGCAGTAGCGTGATCGAGCGGTGTCTTATTCGCTCCATTTCGCGCTTCCGCGTCCATATATATACTAGTCCAAGTCCAGTTCAACCCTTTCCCGCCGCATACACGCCCAATCAACCAACCAACCACTCGCTGTCCTTGCGCTCCCCCACCACAGCGCCCCCACCCTAGTACTGCCCAATGCGAGCTACCGCGAACCGTTTGTCGCTCGGTCTCGTCGTCGGGCTCAGCGCGCTGTCTTCGGCCGCGCCCATCCCCGAACCGCTCCCAGATCCCGCTCCCGCCCCCGCCCCAGGCTTCGGACCCTCGGCATCAGGACCCATCGCCGGAGGCGGCCCTCCCATCAGCTACTTCTCCCTGCGCAAGGGGAAGAAGGGCCCCCGCGGGCTCGACGACGAGGGAGAGGAGGGTCAGGGGCTCGGGGAGGAAAGTGCCGAGTCGCGGCGGCCTGGCACGGTGCGCTGTCCCAGATCTCCGATGTAGCCGCTGGTATTGACTGAAATTCCATCGCAGAGCCCGCCCGTGCCGATGGAGGATGTCGACCCGGCCTACCTTCCCCTGTCGGCTTCCCTCGAGGAGATCAGCCTTCTAACGCAAAGCGAGGCGGGCAGCTACAATCCGGAGCTGATGAAGGAGCTCGACTGATCTTTCAAAACAGCTGAAACCTGCTCTGGACATGTACTTGAGATTATTATGATGTGATATGTATTCCAGTCGTTTATCTAAATATGTTCTATTTCTAGCCCTGAAAGGCAATCGCAATTACATGTACTACATACACTTGAACCTACAGCCCCAATCGCACGTCTAGAGTCTCTCCATCGCATACTGACTCTCCTCCCTCCGAGTCGCCGCGAAATGCGGGAGCATCCGCTCTACATCCTTCCACCGCCAATGCTGCGTCATCATGTCTCGTGTGAGCTGGTTGGGGTTGTCCCTGACGCTGTTGTCCTTGCCGTCGCGGTGCGTCTTGATGTCCTGCAGCGCGGGGAACAGCCGGGACAGGTAACGCGCCACCGCGAGCGCGTCCGCGATGTCCGAGTTCTGCACGTGGAGCGCCGCCAGGCGCGTCTGGCGGACGCGTTTCGCGGAAGGCAGGACATCCGGCACCGCCACAGTCGCGTCGACGGTGGTCTTCAGGCTCGCGAGGTGCGGGCAGTGCGCTGCGAGGTGCTCGAGGGACGCCAGGACGGGCGCCGCGCCGCCGGGCATAGCGCTGGTCTCGAGCGACAGCGTGCGCAGCAACGGCCACGCACAAGCGAGCTCCCGCACCGCGTCGCCATCCAGCGCCCAGCCCGCGCTCGAGAGGAGCTCGACGTGCGCCAGGTTCCTGAACGCGAGCAGCGGGCGGATGGCGGGCGCACCGACCCGCGCCAGGCCGCCGCTGCCGGCGGCGTGGAGGACGAGCGTGCGCAGGGAGGTGGGACGGCAGGCGCTGGCGACGGCGGCGAACAGCCGCTCGAGCTCGGGATTCGAGACGACACCGGCGGTGGTGATGGAGATGCGCTTGTACGGCGCGTGTGTGGACAGCCGCAGGAAGGCGAGCGCCGTGAGGATGTCGCCCCGGCGGATCACCAGCTCGAGCAGACGGGGAAAGAACTTGGCATCTTTCGATTTCTTTACCGCCTGGAACTCAACGGGCAGGTCGACAACGGAGAGGGTCCGCAGCGAGTCGAGTCGGCCGATGTGCTGCAGCGACGCGATGTCGGGACAGCCCATGGTGACCTTCTCTAGACTGTGCATGCGGCGGAGGATGGATGATACGGCGGCATCGAAATGCGGAGGCCTCGGGAAAAACTTCTCGCCGGTGTACACCAGGAGGGACGTGAGCTGAGGTGCGGCCGAGGGCAATGTGGAGAGATGAGTCATCATAAGTCTGTGCTCCCGCTCGGTCTTAGCATAAACGCGCAGCGTCCGCAGAGTGGGCGCCAGAAACATCCGGAGACAAGAAGCCACATGTGGGTACTTCCGCGAGTACAGAACGCGCAGTTTCGGGAACAACCCGCCCGAGGGCGCGCCCGCAGCAAGCTGGTTGAAAAAGTTGGCGCCAGCAGCGGAAAAGGCAGCATCCGAGCTCTCGTCAAGGTTGAGCACACGAACCCGGGCTGCGTAGAAATCCAGACGACTCCAATCACCAGCAAAAATGGGCCGGGCCCAGCGCTGTCAAGTGACCCCAGTCAGTCTCCGATATCCGCGCGATGTGCGCAGCCTGCTGTTCAAACGCACCCCATGAGACACACCCGCTTCGTCCAAATCTATCGCAAAACAGTCGCCCGGGAGACAACAAAGAAGCGGGGTCAGCGCGATCTGCTTCACCCACAGCGCGTCCAGGGCCGGATTGGCGAAATAGCGGCACGTCTGAGCCAGCGCCGCGAGTGTACTGGTGTTCGCCGCATCGAGGGTGGGGAGGTGCTTGTTCGTCGGCCGGAAGTGTGCGCATATCAGCTGCACGGTTTCAGGAATCAATAGACACTGGTGCATGTCGCAGCGGCTCGTGTGGTTAGAGATTGAGAGGGATTACTTATGCGACTAGGCTGGAACACGGATTCTGATCAAGGATGTCACGTGTGAAAAGGGTCACCCCCCCCCTGCAGGGAGTTCAGGTTAGCGCGCAGCAGCTGAGAAGGGTAGCAACACCATGTTGTTGTGTACAGTTCTAATTTCTTTTGTGTTGCGGCATGCCCCAGTGTTCGAGTCCTAGACACAGGGGGCGTCAAGAGGCATATTGTTTATCAAGGCGAGAACTTGAAAGATTGATTTACTTACACTGCGGGGGGACTTATTTTGTTTTCTGTGGAAAACGCGTGACAATCTAGAAGTCCGATTTTCACCGTCCTGTTTTCAGACAATATATATATATATAGAAAATAGATGATTCTTATTTTTTGACTGAAAACAGATTCTTCTAGTAGTTTTAATCTGTTTTCAGTGAAAAAATAAAAATCATCTATTTGCTATATATATATTGTCTGAAAACAGAACGGTGAAAATCGGACTTCTAGATTAATGTCACGCGTTTTCCACAGAAAACAAAATAAGTCCCCCCGCAGTGTTACTGGACAATGCGTAGAATTCGAGCGCATCATCCGGACCGGCAAAACACAGTTGACTTCTCTTTCTTTTTTGGAGCATTCGAAGTAATGAATCTCATCGTTCAAACCTGAACCAAACTAAACCAAACTCAAGTTCAGAGTTCGGGTTTAAGTAACCAGGTCCCCCTACCCAAGCCAAAGTTCATTTGAGAGTTTGGGGGGGTGGACCAAAAATGCTGAACTAGTTTGAACAGTTCCAGCTGACTACACTGAACGTCTACTAGACCCTGATCAAGGGGAATGCTTATTATCGCTAGAGACAGTTCAAAGTCTCTACATGAGCCAAGAAAATATCGGCAGGATGTAGGATACTGGCACTGTAGCCCTACAATATGGTAAGCATCCGGAAAGCAACAGAGAACTGTGCGCACGGTTTTAGAGTCTCTAGTGTCTATTTCTAATGTCGGGTGGGCCGCCGACGGACTCAGAGCCTAGCTGCCGGGCCCGCGTTGAGAAACACCTGCTCGCCAGAGACCAGCAGCTTCCCCGTCCGTTTGTCTCGAATCTATCGATAAAAATCACACCAGACAGCGATTCATCAGCGCGGGTCCAAAATGAGGCGGAGGACGCGCACCTGCGCCTGAGCCATCCGCGTGCGTTTGTCAGCGTGCACGCCGTCGGCGACAATCTCTATCACGGAGCCGCTGTGTCGGTAGGTATCTGGGTCAGAGATAGCGCGCAAGGGGAGTCGTGACGACGCACAGCGGGGCAGCGCCGTGCCAGCGCAGGTTCATCGTGTTCGAGACGCCGCGGCCATCGAACCCGCCGGCGATGCCGAGCGCGAGTGTCGCGGAGAGCGTCACGCTGCAGAGCCGCTCTCGTCACTATCACAGCAGATGCACGCAGACGAGGACCCGGACGCACAGATCGATGATGTACGCGGCGCAGCCGCCGTGCAGCGTCCCGTACAGATTGCACATATCTGCACCGGGGTTAGGGTTACAGCGTACTGCGTAGCGCGGAAATCGGGGACGACACCGCACTGCTTGCCACGGGCATCTCGACGACCACACGCACACGACTCCTCGTGTCGGACCCTCCTTGCCCCGCCGGGTCCTCGAACAGATCCACGCGCGTCATGCGGAACGCGCGCCCGACCTCGCTCCCGAAGGTCGACGCTGCGGGCTCCGTCTCCGGCCTGGGCGTGTCCACAAAGTGCGCGAGGAGGTTCGCGCTGAGGCGCTTCGCGGCGGACGGCGCGGTGCCCTCGATGAGCGCAAAGTCGACGCCCGGTGCGTCGGGGACCGTGCTGTAGAACGCCTCCAGCGCCGGCGGTGGTGTAGCGGTAGTGGCTGGCATCGCGTCGTGTCAGAGAGTCAAGATAGAGAGATGGATGGATGGATGGCGGGCGGGCGGATCTTGGTCCCAACGCGACTGTCTGTTGTATTTTGCGCTGAAGACTGAAACTGATTGCGGGAGAGTGTGATCCCGAGATTATGACATGTGGAGATAACCGCTATCCGTATCACCTCCCGGCTGTGTTAATTGCAAGACGCTGCAACGGTGGTCTCAGTCTTCAGCTATCGGAAATCGTCAGTATGTTTGATGCAACTACCGTCCTGATTTCGAACGTCCCATCACTCAAGTTCTGATTTCGCACGGTTGGAATAGCACAGACAGGTATGCGATGATCCACATACATACAATGTCGTCTGGCTCCCCGCTTCATGATCCATCAAACTCACCTCCCTCTAACATTCTAACAAACGTCGCACCGCATCATAAACCGTGACTGAAAGCCCAAAAGTTCATAGCAGCCAAGCAGAACACGGCACAGTATGGAGGCCGGGAATTATATGCTGATAAGCGGAGGACATATCACTGATACGCGAAAGTTTGCCGACATGGCATCAATGTCATGATGCGCTCTATGTCATGATGCGCTCTGTCTGGACCCCGAACGCTGAAGTGTATTACTAGCATTGACACGCCTACGGAGCGTATGAGCGCGCAGCTGTACGGGGAGAGACAGGGGGCTAGTCGGAGGTCGTGGGGAGGGAGCTGCGGCTCGAGCTCGCGCAGTATATTTGTGGGATTCTGATCCTAACAAGGTCAGGCTCGGGGAAATGGGCTTAACTGAAATGGGCGGGGGCAGCAGCGAGCAACAGGGGGAGTAAAGGGACAATAGAACAGGCGATGGGACGATAATGACGACGGAGGACAGGACGAGAGGACGATAGAACGACGGGGAGATCAATATGTATGTCTGTAGCACGAAATGGGGGTTTGGGGGCGATGTTGGGAAAATAATGCAGAAGCAGGCGCCGAGAAAGCGAGATAGAAAGTACTGGGAAGTCACTTTAGACTCTAGAGAGTGGGTGAAGAAGATTTCTTGTTTTTCTTGTACTGTACTACAGGTCTTTTATACTACTGTACCGTGCCAATCAAATCGTCAGGGGGTGTGATGCGTGACACAAAAGGTCAATTCGTCAATTCGTCAGGTCCCCCCATGACATGTGACATGTTGATTTTTTCGTCAGGTCATGCATTCACCTCCCTATGAGTTGCTTGCAACTTGATCTGAAGCTATCTGTGTGATAGCCCCAGACAGACTCAAAACAACACAGGGAAGGGTACACAAGTATTTTTAACACTTCAGCTGAACCCCACAAGCCTTATTTATTTCCGAACGGAAAAATGAATTCGTCACCTGAGCATGTGATGCGTGACATCAAAACAAATTTCGACTTCGTCAGGCAGCCTGTGACGCGTGACTGACGATTTGATTGGCACGGTACAGTAAGTGTGAATCAAATCCAAAGGAGATAAGTAACTTGAACCTCCTGTTGATATGGTGACCATTGAGCTCTATGTTAATTTATTTCTTTAGTCAGTGCTGAATTTTGCCGAAATGAATGAGTCCTGTGAGCACAACAAGGAGACGAACTCCGAAATAGGACCCCGCCGGAGGCATCCAGTGATGATCAGAATGATCACGTGCAACAACCTTGATGAGCTCGCTGACAAATCCATTGAGATCTTTTCGTGCACGTGATCGATTGATTTCAGGGCTAGGGCGCATCACTGCTCGTCAGCATGTATGTACTACCAATGATCATTGAAATCCTGAGAGTCCTCTTTGTCCGAGAACCATGCGTACAATGCATGAGCGTCATCCGGTAACTGGGAGTTGGGCATGGGATACACTTCGGGCTCGATATCGTTGATCATTGCGTTCAGACGTGCGTGATGTTCAGGACCTCCGAAAGGAGACGAGTCAGTGAACAGTAAGGTTCCCAAGTAATGGAACATACCGAGACCATCCCCATTGTTGACTCCACCCATATAATAAGCACCCTCTCCGACGACCCCCTCACCGCCCTGCAGTTCCTGCAAGTTTGGGAGAAGGGGAATGTTTTTATCGACCGGCTGGGTCAGCACATGCCCCCACCTTGCATCGGCACTCTGATCGATATTGTTTGTAAGGGCAACTCCTGCCAGCCCGAAGGAAGAGAGCACACAGCACACAACAACCTCACATGAGTCTGAGCACAGAGGGGGATCCTTAGAGACTATCAAATACAAGGGAGGTATACTACTCACCTGAGCACAGAGGGGGATCCTTAGAGAACGGTTCAAGGATCCATGTGCCCAGGTGTCACACTATATAGTCAGCTGTGACAAGTGACTGATGATGATGGGATATCACTGCCATGGAACAATGGCAGATGACAAGTAGATAATGACAAACCCAGATAAGATAGTGAGTGGCTCAGAGGGGCCAGTGATGGCCAGCTCCTGAGACACCAACAGTGGAAGGCCACACTGGAGGAGCCCAGCGGCCAGGCCAGTGCCCGGCCGGCCAGTGGAGACATTGGAGGCGAGGACCAATGCCCAACTGGGAAGAGGGGTGGTGCAGATGAGCGCAAGGGCATCTGGTACGAGCCTGTACGGCAGTAGACCACATCCGCGGGGAGAAGGCCGAAGTGAAGGGGGAGGAGTGCATACGGCAGTAGCACTCCCTGGTGCAAGGAATCGGGCTTGGCTAGACCGCTTGCGGGGATTCGAGGGAGATGGCCGGGGGAAGAAGGGAAAGGGCGGATGTTGGCATGGATGGAGATGAGGATCGGAGGAGGAGGAGGAGGCTGGGTGATCGACAGGTGAGCAGGCACGGGTCGGCAGAGAGGGTGCAGTGGGTCACGTGCATGGTCACGTGCCCAAGGAGCGCGGCGTCCCCTGACATTGTTGAGCTGATCCAACTCCTTGAGGCGATTCAGGAGCTGGAGATATACATCCCAACATGAGTCCCGGTCCACAATAGGGCTATTAAGCTTTGCATAGATATCCAAGATCGCGATCTCGAAGTCAGGGGGAACAAGGAGAAAGACGTCATGATCAGGTGGTGCGTACATCTGTCGGACTTTTTCAATACCGATAGGATCGACCTTGATCTGTAAGGGACTAGTAGTTAGTGGCTTGTACTTGATGAAATCGGACTCGTACCTTGAAATCGAGGATGGCGTAATCCTCTGGGAACTCAAACATGCTAGTCGGAACACTGTGAGGAAGGATCTTGTTACGATCACAGCGCTTTGCGGTATTGTTCACGCGATGCCGATACAGCTCAAGCTCGCCCTGAAGCCACGGGATGAATACCCAACGGAAGACTAAGCTTCCAGCCTTCGGAGAAGCCTCTGGGGATCGGTTCGTTCAAATCTGCTCATTCTGCGTTTCTGACGCTGTCCACTTTGCCAACCACACCCCTCGGAGCGCTTCCAAATCAAGCCGTTGCCGCGAAACGCATGTTCAAGAACAACGAGAATAGCGTCTTGATCCACTTCAACCCCATCGATGAATATGCGCACCATGTATCGGAGGCACATCTCCTATTCTGGGGCACTACCCTTCTCAGTTTCGTTTATTCTTTCGTGCGTAACTACATATCAAAGCATGTCGCGCCACCAGGCGACCTCCCTATCTTTGAAGTCCGCTTTGTCGAGGCCGGCGTTGCTCTGGTTCACAATGCGGTGGCAGATGGCAAGTCGAGCAAAATGATGACATCACTCCGACGATCATATCTCATTGAAGAATTAATTGGAACGGATTTGTTCTCTGCAACGACTCGAGTATATTGCTCACTGAATTTCAGGCAATTTTGTGAAGTACATCAATAACAATAGTGCAGTGCCCGTTCCGTCGCTTCCAGAAGATCTCAAGCTGTTGGCATCGTTCCTCTGTTTTACACAACATGTCCAATACGAACACACCGGGCGTTTGGTCTTTCTTTCTGATCTTCAAGGCCGGTTCATTCGATCTGGCTCACTGTTTCATACTAACTCTATCCAAGGCTCCGGAAATCTCTTGACGGATCCGCAGGTTATGACTTCACCGTGCGCAGTCCACTGCTGTGTCAATCTGCGTGCTCTTGATATCTGACTGGATCATCAGGACTCTCGAACGTGGTCTGTTTGGTGGTGGCAATTCAGGCAGGTTCTTCGAGAAGTTTCCTGAGCAGCATGTATGCTCCGGTTACTGCAAGTTTTTTGGACTGTCTAGTCTCATGTAAGTAGTTACGCTCTATCGCTACTCTACAGTGCATGTACTTGGCCTTTTTCATACATGTTAACGAGCGTTCGGGGTCCAGACAGAGCGCATCATGACATAGAGCGCATCATGACATTGATGCCATGTCGGCAAACTTTCGCGTATCAGTGATATGTCCTCCGCTTATCAGCATATAATTCCCGGCCTCCATAGCACAGACACAGACACACAAAACACAACACAAACAACTCACGCGCCCACGATATCCGCCAACTGCGTCTTCGGCACAGCCGCCGCAAACGCCTTGCGCTTGAGCCGCGTCTGCGTCTTCTGCTCGTACGCGAACGCGAGCCCAATCAGCTCGAACTCGGAAAACGCCGTCCCGAGGAACGACAAGCCGAACGGCACGCCGGGCGCGGGGTACAGCGTTTCGGGGCCCGCAGAGCCGATGCTGCCGCCGAGTTGGTCAGTCACTAATAGTTTCGCAGTAGATGCAGAGGTTGAACACTCACGTGACATTCTCTGGGAAGAACCCGAGCGGGACGGTCACGATCGGGTAGCCCACCACGGCTGGGCAGGATATCATTATACCGAACGATCAGCGTTTCAGACAATCTCAGCCACTCACCGGGGGGCGCGGTAGTAAATCCGGGCGCGGGGAGGACGAGCGCATCAAGGTTGAACTTTTTCAGGGCAAAGTCGATGCCGCGCGTGCTGCCCAGATCGTGGTCCGCCGCCAGCGCGGCAAAGAAAGCCGCGTCGAAGCCGGCCGTGGCCTGCGCTGCGATCAGCCTGGTTTTCCCACCCAATCAGTGCGAGTTCAGCATGGAGCAAGGGAGGGACACGTGCTGGGACTGGTCCTCGAACCCCGCGGGCTCCTCGAGCGTCGGATTGGCATCGTCGAACGCGATGAGATCGGCGAGGCTGCGCACGCCGGAGGGGTTTTTCAGGAGAGACGCGAACCACTTGTTCAGTTGGATCTGATGTTTTTTTTTCACTCAACCACGAGCAGGGAGGGACACACGACACCCCAACCGCACCTTGAAGTCGACATTCAACACGAGCGTCTCGTTGTTGCTCGTCACAAACTCCTCCGCGGAGGGCAGATCCGCGGGATCCACCACCGTCGCACCCAACGCGCGGATCGTCTTTAGCGCCTCCTCGAACGCGACGTTGATCGAGGGATCGTTGCCGGTGATGCTGTCGTTGAGGAACACCCTCCGCGGCACCCCGATGCGCTTCCCCCGCAGCGCATGGGCGTTCAGCGCCTTGGTGAAGTCCGGCACGACCGCCGGCTGCGCGAGCGTGAAGTTGTCGTTCGCGTCTCTCCCGGCGATGACCGACAGCACGATCGCGGCGTCGGTCAGGGAGCGCGTCATCGGGCCGACTGTATCCTGGTGCTCGGAGATGGGGATCACTGCATGGCATGGGATGAGGACAGAACGACCACAACCCTCGAAAAACAGCGCCGCACCTCCAGCGCGGGACGTCAGCCCCACGGTCGGCTTGATCCCAGCGAGGTTGTTGTTGCTCGACGGACACGTGATGCTGCCGTCCGTCTCGCTACCGAGCGTGACCGCCGCGAGCCCGATCGAGGCGGCGATGCCGGAGCCGGACGACGACCCGCACGGATCGGCTTTGGGGAAGTAGGCGTTCGTGGCCTGCCCGCCGCGGCCCGACCAGCCCGAGGCGACGTTCCCGCGGAAGTGCGCCCATTCGGACAGATTGGCTTTTCCTGAGAACATGTTCAGTGTCGGGAGTTCTACTTGAATTCACGGACACACGCGTACCGAGGATGATGGCACCCGCTCTTCTCAGTTTCTTCACGACGCCGGCATCATCCGGCACGATCGAGCCGAGCAAACTAAAGGAACCCGCAGTGGTGTTCATTCCTTCCGAAAGATCAGCATGCAAAAAGGGAGTGACATCCCCCCGGAGCGCACCCTCGCTAGCCAGTGTGGCGATGTTGTCCTGCGTGCACGTCGATACTAAATCGGTTTCCGGCTCCCACAGTCGAGAAAAACGACACGCACCTTGACGAGGACCGGGATCCCATGCAGGGCGCTGCGCTTCCCCGTCTTCCGCCGCTCCGCATCCAGCGCCCGGGCCTGCTCGATCGCGAACGGATTCGTCTCGATCACGGCGCGCAGCGCGGGGCCCTGGAGGTTCACCTCCGCGATGCGTGCGAAGTACGCCTGAGTTTGGGGGGGATCGCGGGTCAGCGTTGGCGTCGCGCGCGCGCAGAGCGACTGCGCGGAAGGGATCGCACCTTGACGAGATCGACGCTGGAGAAATGCCCCGCGTCTAGGCCCGCCTGCAGCTCCAGCACCGACGCTTCGTACAGATCGGGGAACTTGGGCGGGGATTTGTCAGCGGCGGACAGTGCGCTAAACGCGAGCAGGGCGGCGAGGAGCACGAGCACCCAGTATCTGCCGCGCGATGAATAATGCATCATCACACTGGTGTACGGGTGGGGAAGAAGGAGAAGAAGGAGGCCGGGTGGGAGGCAGACGGATATAAGTGCATTCCCTCGCACCTCCACTGATAAGCACATCCATCGACCCTGCTTCTCACCCTCACTGGCGCTGATGTCGTCTGTGGGAACGCCCCTTCCTTGGGAAGCAGTCGTGGCGTCGAGCGTGGACGTTTTGCGTCCCAGGCCATGTGCTCTCTCCGGTATGGCTGCGTTCCGGGATCCCCGAGTGCGAGGGGACTGCTTATTCCGGAGGGGATGTGGATGTATACGTTGAGAAACTTGAGATGCGTGGGCGACTCGGCTGAGAACGGTCACGTGGAACTTCGAGGAATCTGATCTGATCTGATGCTGTTATTTGTTGTTCGATGTCTCAGATGAGTCATGCGACTCTTCGAATCACACTTGTACGACCACGACGGTTTTGACAAACCTTTTTGCCCACGATGTTCACGGCGCTCGGTAGGGCATATACCATAGGGCACTCACACTGCGCACAATTCGTCACGAGGCACCAGTGAAGCTTACCGCTAGGAGAGGGACGCCTGGACGACCGACAGACGAGCGATACAGTAGGCCCTTCTCATGAGCGCCAGCACCTTCTCATATTGGCATCAGGAAGGAAATCGATGGGTTTCGTGGTGTCCTTTTTTTCCTGGATATGTTGGAATTCCTTCCGGATGATAGCAATCGGCTTTCGCCGGTCCGGATGATGCGCTTTGATTCTACCCATTGCCCCAGAAAATCAATCTTCTCACGTTGATAAGATGCATTTCGACACAACCTCTCTCTGGGAGTCGAGTAATGGCGCATCCTGCAACATAAGCCAAAGCAGGATCCTTCCCAAAAACATCGCGTTGTTCTCTTGTCAGCGGCGCACGCTTGATTGGACCTCTTGCATGGACGGTGACCCATTCCAAACGTGACATTCTTAATCAGAGTCCGCGTCCGAGGTCCAGTCACATAATCCCTCTTGTTCTCTGACCACCAGGACCGCCGCGACATGCACCGGTGCCTCTCGATTCTCGAAATCGTCGAGCTGATATGCGCGCACTTCCGGCCGACGAACGAGCACCTCCCCACCCTCGACGCCGCCAACACCAGTGCACTCGCGGCGCTGGCTCAAACGTGCCGCTTCTTCGTCAACCCTACTCTGGACGCGCTGTGGGTGAAGCAGATCGCGCTGACCCCGCTGCTGTCGTGTCTCCCGGGTGACTGTTTTGCGATGGATCTGGACGAGGCGGGTGTGTCGCACGCAGTGAGTGAGCTTGAATCGCGAACTCTATTCATCGCGCGGCTGTCTGACACTCCACGCACAGCGCTGGGCCCGACCTATCTTTGCTGGCGACTGGAGCCGCTTGGATGCCTACGCGGCCCGGGTTCGTGTGCTCAACGTCAACGAGAGCTCGGATCCCGCCTTGTCTACTGCCGGTGCCCACTTCTTCAACCAGCTCGCTGCGGGCGCGCCCTCAGGCGGTTTGTTCCCGAAACTGCGCGCTCTGCACTCGCGGGAGTACCCACATGCACCTTCCTGTCTCGGGATGCTCCTGGCACCGACACTGCGGACGCTCCTCGTGGGCGTCCAGACGGAGCAAGAGAACAAACTCTTGATGACCCATCTCTCCGCCGTGCCCTCTGTCGCGCCGCAGCTCGCCTTCCTCCAGGTTTACACCAGCGGGAGGATATTCCCGCGGCCTCCGCATATCGACGCAGCCGTGTCATCCGTCCTCCGCCGCATGGACGGCCTGGAGAAGGTCATCATGGGCTGCCCCGACATCGCGTCGCTGCAGCACATCGGCCGACTCGACTCGCTGCGGACCCTCTCCGTTGTCGACCTGCCCGTCGAGTTTCAGGCGGTAAAGAAATCGAGAGGCGCCAAGTTCTTTCCCCGCCTACTCGAGCTCGTGATCCGCCGGGGCGACATCCTCACGGCGCTTGCCTTCCTGCGACTGTCCACACACGCGTCGTACCAGCGCATCTCCATCACCACCGCCGGTGTCGTCTCGAATCCGGAGCTCGAGCGGCTGTTCGGCGCCGTCGCCAGCGCCTGCCACCCCACCTCCCTGCGTACGCTCGTCCTCCACGCCGCCGGCAGCGGCGGCCCGGCGCGGGTCGGTGCGCCCGCCATCCGCCCGCTGCTCGCGTTCAGGAACCTGGCACACGTCGAGCTCCTGTCTAGCGCGGGCTGGGCGCTGGACAACGACGATGTGCGGGAGCTTTCCCGGGCGTGGCCGCTGCTGCATACACTGTCGCTCGCGACCACCGCCATGCCCGGCGGCGCGGCGCCCAGCCTGGCGTCCCTCGAGCACCTCGCCGCACACTGCCCGCACCTTGCGAGTCTGCAGATCACCGTCGACGCGACTGTGGCGGTGCCGGATGTCCTGCCGTGCGCGAAACGCGTCCGCCAGACGCGCCTGGCGGCGCTCCACGTGCAGAACTCGGACATCGCGGACGCGCTCGCGGTGGCGCGTTACCTCTCACGGCTGTTTCCCGCGCTGCAGGATGTGAAGACGCACCGCGAAGGCAAGGACAACAGCGTCAGGGACAATCCCAATCAGCTCACGCGACACATGATCACGCAGCATTGGCGGTGGAAGGATGTAGAGCGGATGCTCCCGCATTTCGCGGCGACTCGGAGGGAGGAGAGTCAGTATGCGATGGAGAGACTCTAGACGTGCGATGAGAGTTGTAGGTTCAAGTATATGTACATGTAATTGTCATTGCCTCTCGAGGCTAGAGATATAAACGACTGGAATACATACAGTATCACGCCAATAATCTCAAGTACATGATGTCCATAGCAGGTTTCAGATGTTTTCAAAGATCAATCGAGCTCCTTCATCAACTCCGGATGGTAGCTGCTCGCCTGGACCGGGCTCGGGGATAGGCGCCGCTGAGGACAGCGCGCTGAGCCCGACGACGAGACCGAGCGACGGACGGTTCGCGGTGGCTGGTGGTGGTGGCAAGCAGTCGGTCGTACTTGTGGTGCAGAAGGACGGGGGCCCGGTATGACTGTCTGTGTGGCACGGTGTGGGTGTGTATACGGCTAACATATTGGAGGATTGAAAGGGCTCTGCAAGCCTACTCAGCTACGAAACAGTCAGTAATAATTTCAGTGGTTGCGACATGATCGTGAGTGAGTGAGATCAAGGGGGCCGCTGATTGGGTTGATCAGACCGTGGGGCTCTCCATGACGCAGTTGCACATGAGTGAAATATCTTCCTACATTTAAGTACACCACCCCATTTCTTCTAGGCCTCGATCATCTCAATCCAGAACCATGAAGCTTGACGTACTCGCTCTTTCAGACGAGATGGGAGGCATTTTCGTACGACTCGCATCGAGCCACCTAGAACCGCCTGCTTGAAAATGGGGACAAGGCCCCAGACTTCTCTATGCTTGCCGAATGTCACGGAAGGCTAGCGCTTGCATCAGCCCCATCTAATATCCGTCTCCAGCACAAAGCCCGCGAAGCAGCAGATATCGAGCGCCCGAGGGCGGCTAGTCGGTCTTTGCACGAGAACATAGTCGGCATGCCTACTGCAGTTCAGCAGACGACGATGCGGAGGATCGAGAGTTGTCCAAGGTCTAGCGCAGATTTCTGGCCGTATGGGAATCGGGATGCAATTCAGCTGTTCTTGCAATAGAGTGGCAGACCGAAGCAAACGTTCTGGCTGGAATAGCATGCCGGCCTAATAGCGTTCAAGTCGGCGCACATTAGGAACTTCCCACTCGCAACTTATGGGGGTTGCAGTGGTCACTGAGGTCGACGCCTCCTTCCCAATTGTTTTCGCGCGGCCGGCCCTTATACGTCCGTCTCCCCGTCCCGCAAAAATCCAGTCGCCCTGGTCAACTTTTCTTCTAGACGGTCTATGAGATGTCGTGAGCAAAGATACAGTGACCCCTTACTCTCGCTGGCCAGTACGCTGCGTGTCGAGCCCTGACGACCTTCCCGCAGCACGCGAAGGTAGCTATGCCTCGGCAATTGGAACACTCAAATATTCCTTCAGGACGCAATCGTTTGACTCGAAACCTTTCCTCACCGGCACCTCGCTAAGCGACTCTGGCCCTTCGGGCACAATGCAGGATGTGATCTACGTGGATGCTTCGATGTGATCGTGCCGGAGAACGAGTGGCCGCTTCGGTTCCTGTTCCTGCACATGAGTCCAACCGGTGTTGTCGACTCGAGGCGTGCTGGAAAATTGTGGGCGGATCAAGAGCGCACGCCATCGGGCAACCGGCTGCCATGACGAGGACAGGTTAGTGGCTGGTGCAACGAGAGTTGTATTGAGTCCGTATTGGAGCACATTGTATCTCAGATTCATCAGCACCGACCCAGAACAGTTCATAGCTTGGAAGATGGACCAGCATTCAGTAATGCGTGATCACCAGAGACCAACAGCTGTCCCGTCAGTTTGTTGCGGATCTGGACAGCGCACTCAGCAGAAGGATCAAATGCACCGGGAGAAAGACCTCACCTCTGCCTGCGCCAGACGCAGTCGTTTATCCGCGTAAACTGCCTCGGCCGTGATCTGTATCGCCGAGCCTCTAGCGACGTGGTTAGTCCGAGCCGGTGGACAGAATGGGCGCAAGTACAGATGAGCGGGGGCGAACCACCGGATGTTCATCGACTGAGAGACGCCTGTGCCATCAAAGTCCTGGGAGAGCCCGAGGCCGATAGTCGCAGACAACGTCACACTTGCCCACTATCAGTGGGTCGCACTGTAACGGCACAATGGGCGGCGGAAATCTTACTTGTCAACAACGTATGCAGCGCAACCGCCATGCATCGTCCCATATAGATTGCACATGTCTGCATAGAGGCGAATATCCGTCAGCGAACGTGCGGACTGTGACCGCTCTAGGACCTACTCTCCGACACCTCGACTTCCACGACGACTCTGCACCTGACGTTCTCCCCGTCCTCGAACACGTCCCGGAACACATCCACCTGGGCGAGCCGCAGCTGGCCGCCCACCGCCTTCGCGAATGGCGCGTCGATCTTCGACCCGGGCCCGCTCCCGCTGGTGAAGTACGCGAGCAGATTGGCGTTGACGCGTTTGGCGCTGGGTGGGGCGTTGCCTCGTATCTGGGCGACGTCGACTCCGGGCGCGTCGGGCATCGAGTCGTAGAATTTGGAGAGCGCGGGTGGGAGCTTGGCGGTGGCGGGCATGGGGAGAACGGGAACGTATGTAGGTGGGCACATGACATGGGACTGCTTGGCTGGATCGATTATCTAACTGAGCTTCTGATCTTGCTGCAAGCCAATTCCAACTTATGCATGGTCAGTTGCATGGGCTAGCTCTAAGTAGAGGACACAAAATGAGGATTCATGATTAGGGAAGTCGCATATGCATAAAGACTACAAAGTACAGCTGCTTCATATCCAAGCAACACAGGAGAGTAGCAAACAGGTATTTGCCACTGTCATTGTGCGGGCAGTGCGCCGAGGGCCGAGGGATGTCATCGTCAGGCGAGCAACGCCGTGGTCACTTGGTTACAGTCATCGAAGTCAATGGCTGGAGCGGCCGCGATACCCCAACAACATACACACTTCTCGTCAGGCTTGCACATGTCGAAGGGATCTTGTCTATTGCGCGATGTCATTTGAGGATCTGGACGAATGACATGGCCGTTTCTAAATTTTGGTCAGTTGGTAATCTTGTCATCCGCTCAGCCCGCCTCCAGTTGAGACGGAGCTCAGTCTCTACGTGTGCTGTTCCAACGAAAGACGACTGTTCTGATTTTCAGCTAGGAAGGCGTGTCAGGCATCGAACATAATCGCGGCGGAACCGATGGAGTCGCAGTGACCGATGTCCAGGCCAGAAAGACGCTGAGAGAGATGCGAGAGGATGAGACTAGCGCAAAGCTGGATGGACACTGAAAAGATGCAGCGCAGTGTACTGATGCGAGGGGCCACGAGGATACAGACGCGAAGCCAGAGGCATGCTTTTCGCCCAGCGTACAAGAAAGAAGTAAAATTGAATGACACAACAGAGATGATACACGGACGTAACGTCTTTTTGGGTCATAACTGCCCTGATAAACGCATCTCCATCATCGCAGAGTCTGTCGGGACGACGAGTTTCGGCGACGCGCACGATCGAATACGGGAGTTCTGAGCATTATGGCTTAGAAGCCTCGCCCACGACCGCGTCCTCCTCCACCGCGTCCTCGCCCACCGCGCCCGCGATCTCCGCCGCGCCCCCTGCCGCGTCCACGCGCCGCATCGAGCTCCTTCTTCCTGCTCTTCGGCTTCGGTGCATCGTCCACGAGAAGCTATCCGGCGTCAGTCTGTGACACGTGAAAAAAGCGCTGGGGTGCGCACCGTGTCCAGTGGGAGGGCATCAGGCAAGATAAAGTAGCGGATGTTGTTCCCGCGAATGGAGAGCGAGTCCAGCGACGTCGGGTCACGATTGCGCGCCGTTATTTTCACGGTCTTGAGATGCGTGTTCATCTGGACATCCACACCTGCCATGCGAGCGTGCGTGGTCAGAATTTTTTTCGTCGCCCCAGGGGGAGCGGGCCTTGCACACCTGTTATCGTCCCATGCACCACTGATCCATTCTTGAGCTCTATCGTGACGGTCTCATTGTTGAGTTTCATGAGAAAGCGGACGAGCTTCATGGTGAAAGGACAAGTGGGGGTGATGGCGTTGTTTGTTTGGCTTGATCATGAACTCTCGTGAATTCACCGTCGGGTCCTCGTACCAAGTCGCGGATGCCATCGGGGAGGGCGCGTACGGCGTCGTCGTCAGCGCAGTCCATGTACCCACCCAGCGCAAGGTCGCGATAAAGCGCATCACACCCTTCGACCACTCCATGTTTTGTCTCCGCACACTGCGCGAGATCAAGCTCCTCCGCCACTTTCACCACGAGAACATCATCGCTATTCTCGACATCCTCAGGCCGCCCTCTATCGAGCAGTTCAATGAGGTCTATCTCGTCCAGGAGCTCATGGAAACAGACCTCCATCGGGTCATCCGCACCCAGGAGCTCTCAGACGACCATTGCCAGTATTTCATCTATCAAGTGTGTGGGCGTCCCCAACCTCATTTGCGACTACTGACCCAAGGACGACAGACGCTCCGGGCGCTGAAAGCCCTGCACAGCGCGGATGTGCTCCACCGAGACCTGAAACCCTCTAATTTGCTCCTCAATGCCAACTGCGATCTGAAGGTGCGTCGTGCCATTGCACCCGCACCGCAGCGTGGGAGGCTTCGAGGCCCCACTCACGATAACTCCAGCTGTGTGACTTCGGTCTCGCACGGTCTGCCCGGCCACCGCCCAACGTCGCTAACGACAGCAGCACCTTCATGACGGAATACGTTGCCACGAGGCGTGTATCCCTCTCTCTCCCCTGCTCGTTCTCGATCCTTGCTCATCGACCGCAGATGGTACCGTGCCCCGGAGGTCATGCTGACGTTCAAAGAGTACACCCGTGCCATCGATATGTGGTCTGTAGGATGCGTGCTCGCGGAGATGTTGTCGGGGAAACCACTCTTCCCTGGTCGCGACTGTACGTACCGTTGCCACTCTTCATTGTCACTTTCTGTGTTCCTCACACGATCGTCGCAGATCACGACCAGCTAAGCATTATCCTTGACGTTCTCGGCACGCCCTCAATCGACGATTTCTACGCCATCTCGAGTCAGCGAAGGTGCGTTGCGCACAGTCATTTCTGCCAAAGTCATCCAGCAAACACGATCCGCCAGTCGGGAATACATCCGAGCTCTGCCGTTCCGTAAGAAACGGCCACTGTCGACGTTGTTCCCGAAAGCGAATCCAGATGTACGTGCCGGGACCATAGCGGCGGCGACACCATGTGCTCACTGCAAGCAGGCCATAGATCTGATGGAGAAGCTACTCACGTTCTCTCCAAAACGGCGGATAGAAGTCGAAGATGCGCTGGCGCATCCCTATCTCTCCGTGCGCATATGTCCTGCCCTACCAGGAACACCACCCCTAATGTTCTTCTTTCTAGCCGTACCACGATCCTGCCGATGAGCCCACAGCGGACCCGATACCGCCGTCTTTCTTCGACTTTGACAATGGAGATCAAGTGAGCAAGGAGGACTTGAAGGGTCGGTGCTTCTGTTCCTTCTATTGTACCTGGTCCCTGACTGCCTGTCTGCAGTCCTCATCTACGATGAGATCACACGCCCGGACAACCCGTCCGCACCCTTCGAGCTGCAGAGCGAGGCTGTATAATACCATAATCAGATGTTATATACCATCAGTGCCAATGGCGGCTTTGTAGGAAAGAAGTATGTGCATACTAATAATGGGTATCCGAAAAGCCTTGATTTGCTCAGTAAGAATTATGTTCACTTGTACATATGTACTTACAGAGATATTTATATAGCTACAAGTTGGGCCGTGATGGATTATAGATAGGAGAACGAGAAAACAACTTTTGGTGTGGTGTAGATTGTCATGACAAGTGCTAACACGGCAGTCCGTGCGTTGGTAAGTAACAGATGAGACAGACACAACAAGCAAGAGGAGAGGCGAGATGGAATATTACTTATCACTATCAATCGTCGAGCACAAACAGATCGTCGACCTGGTTGGCCGTCGCAACAGGTCTCGCAAGCGGGCTGCTGATGGACACATTCCGTCCAGACGGTCCGCCAGCGGCTCCGGCGCCACCCGCCGCCCGGCTCGCAACGGCAGCAGAGTACGAGAACGGCAACGTCTCCTTCTGTGGCGCCATGTAGCTCAGGAAGCCGGGACTCCCGCTGACGCTGCCGGTGCTCATGGTCGCCCAGTCCCTGTTCGGCGACGTGCCGAACGCGGCCGCAGCCGGCGACGGCGAGCCCGCGCTCAGAGGCGGCAGTGCGTGGATCCGCGAGTAACCCGCCGCAAGACCTTGCGGTAGACTCTGTCCTGGCGCGTGGGCCTGCAGCGCGCGGGCGTTCGGGGACATGAGCCCGGCATCCGGCTGCTCGACGCGTGACTGCTGCTGGGTGAGGTCGAAAGGATTCGGGCGGACGTAAGCAGAGGGGCCGGATTGGAGGTAATGCGCGAGTCCTGGCGGGCCCTGCTGCATCGCTGCATTCGACGCGAGGCCGGAGTTGCTCTTGTTGCGTGACATGTAGTGGTGCATGCCGGGTAAAAACGCCGCACTGGCGTTGCTCGGTGAGAGAGTCGGCAGTCGCATCAGCGATGCCGGATCCTCTGCGTAAGATCCAGTCAAGCCACCACCACCAGTGGACGAGTACGATGAGGAGAATCGGGGCGACGAAGCCAGGCCAGAGGGAACAACGGGGGACCCGCTGGCTTGCTCGGACCAGATGGATTTGAGATCGCCGCCCAAGAAGGACGGAGCTGGCACCGAACGTGAGTAGCGATGGCCTGCAGCTCCGCTCGGCAGAGGCAGCCCGAGACCTTGACGACCGGGAGACGAGCTCAGCTCGTATCCCTGCCCCGAATTGGCACGCGACATCCGTCGGCTGCGCTCCTCGGGCGTCAACAATTCAGAAAGTGATGAGGGCACGAATTCCTCCATGCTATCATCCCCATCGTCCGCGTTGTTGCTCGTATTACGTTGAATATCACGTGCAGCAGACAGCAGGGACGTCGTCGTCGGGGGTCTCGTCGCAGTCTGCTTTGGCGGAGGCGGTGCACCCCATGCGCCAGTGATACCAGTGCCCAGACTGGAGGGCATCCCCTTTGCTTTGTCTCCTAGGTGGAAGATCGTCTGGGACCCAGGCGCTGAGAACGGCGACGTCGACAAGAACCCGTTCTTTTGCGGGGGTGTCGCACCCGCATTCGTCGGTGGCGACCCGATCGGCCCGAAGTCCTTGGCAGGTGGCGTCGTCGTGCTCGGTCTCCGGGGCGCAGAGACAGGAATCGACATCATGCTCATGACCTGCTCCTTGAAGTCCAGCACTTTGGCTTCCTCTTCCTCCTTGGGCGTCGTCACGGCCGTGGTCACGGGCGGCGAGTCGGGCGACTTGTTGCGCGCCGGTGCACTGGGCAGCTCGTCGAGCACGTCGCTGAACGAGGCAAAATCCGTATCTTTCAAGGGAGGCGCCGGCGCCGATGGTGATATCGTCGCCTTTAGCTGTAGGCTCATGGGGGGCCGGCGAGCCGGGGTACGTGCATTAAGCCCGCTGTCCCCGCCTGCTCCGCCTCGCTTCGCCCGGTCCCTGTCCCTGTCCCTGCCCCCCTTCTCTCCGCCGTCGCGACGCCCGCCACCCGCAGCAGCAGCCTGGACCTGGGCAGCCTTCTTGTTCCGCCGATCCATGCTCATGCTCTGTCCAGGCAAGATGTGCGCCAACGCACACTTGTGTCCGAACTTGCAGTTCCCCTTGACGAACCACGCACAGGTGTCCTTTGTTGCACCGGGCTCAATGGCGGTGTGCGAGAAGGGGCATGCAGATCCAGCTGTACAGGATCCGACTTTGAAGAATTTGCAGGGGACATGCGAAAGGTCTTTGGACGACGCTGCGGAGGTAGTTAGCATGGTGCCTGCCAGTGTGTGCGTGGACAGATGGGGGGAGTGCAGCGCAGATGATTGGGTGCGCAGGGGTAAAGTCGACAAGAAAACGAACGTACACTTCGATCCCGCACCACCACCACCTCCGCCGCCAGACTTCTTCCCGCCGCCGCCGCCGCGCGTATCGCCCTCCCTCTCTCTGTCCTGGTCTCGATCGCGCTCTCGCTCTCGTTCTTCGTCGAGCATCCTTTTCGGTCAGTCAGTCCAAGAGGGCGTGAAAAGCAGCAGATAGGGGCGGCCGACAGAATCGAGGACGGACGCAGACAGACGCAGAAGAGAGCAAGTGAAAAACGGCGCACGCGGATGATGATCGATGACTAAGCGCGATCGTTTTTTTGGGTTTCTCGGTCATCTTACCGCCGATGTCTGTCTTTTCAAATTCGGGGCTACACGAACCCGAGCAGCGCATTTTGGGCCCTTGGATCGGAGAGGACGATGGTTTAGGATCCTTCTGCTGCTGACCTCTCTGGATCCACGATGGCCACCGATGCATAGCCACAGATGTTGTCTCAGCGGATATGACAGTTAGCTATTACCTAGTTTTTCTCCGAGAGCGGGCTTATTCATGTTTCGTTCCGTAAGGTAAGGAGATCCGGGCTGCGGATATTTTTTGATTGTATCTCAGACATTGGATCTGTACGTTCTCCGGAAGACAAATATGGATGGCAAGGGAGTGGGCCGATCGCACCTTCCTTCCATTTTTCTTGTTATTGAAATCACGGCTTGAGTTGTGGTCCAAGTAAAAAAAGAAACAGACTACTTGCTATCTATGAGACAATCCATTTTTGCGCAGCATAAATCGTTGGCGAGCCAATTGAGTCCGAAATCTTGCAAGGCGGTTGTCTAAAATGATATCCGGTGAGGTGACGTATCCTGCAGTTGATGGTAGTCCAGAGACGTGTGCCTAAGAGTGAGGGATCACGTGCACATGTTCAACTTGCATATCGGATAATTATCAAATCTAGGGCCTCATGCCGCCTGCCAGTCACTCACTAGAGGGATTGACACGGGATTCTGAGTGAAAGAGAAAGTAGAGTCGATTAAAGTATTCTAGAGATGACCGCTAAAAGTAATAAAAAATGAAGAGGATAGTGGAGTAAGGTTGTCCATCCTCCGGGATGAGGTAACCTCGAGCGCAGTGGGAGAAAATATCATTTGTATACAGTACTGTTCGATTAAGCTATGGCGTTGGTAGCGCCGAGAAACTGATTCATAGTCGACTCGATTTGCACCTCTAGAAAAAAACGGACGGCGACTCGGTCAACGAGATTCCCACTCGGGTGACTACACAACTCACCGATCATCTTACATCGCGACGCCGCAGTAGTCATGGCAGATAGGACATTCTGGCCGGCCTCGTTGAACTGCCGTAACATTTGGGCACTGCCGGGACTGCCTCGGTACTTCAAGCGAGAGATTTCTCCTCCCAGGAAATCGAGTGTCAGGGCCCAGATGGTCTGACGGAAATGTGTCAGGGACGTCCAATTCGAATTTAGATGGAGCTTACACCAAACACCGGATCGATGTACCTCAACGCCGTCGAATTCTGGCTGCGTGTGATATCGACGATCACGCGAGCAGCACGCAGCATGCTTTGCCGCGACTCGTCGTAGCTGCCCACGAATGGCCTATGCAGCAGCAGCGTCGACGCATGGGACAACGCATGGGCGACCAGCAGACCCGGGTGCTGGTTGGCCCCCAGCATCTGCTTGAACGTCTCGATTGCAGCGTTCAGAGTGATATGCTTTGCAGACAACTGGGCGTAATCTGTGGCCCGCGAGGAGAGCAGCGACGCCTGCTCGAAGAGAACGGCCGCCTTGGCCCGGAGCGCCAGCACTGAGCGGCCCTGGTCCGCGCGATTCGCCAGGAAGCTCTCAATGGTTCGGCTGCTCTGCAGCGGCAGAAACCGCGAGTCCTTGAATGCACATTAAGCACATGAAAACCAACAGCAGGAAGACCCAACCGCACGCACCCGCTCGTACAGCTCGATATCCAGCGGCCACGGTACGTCGACCATCCCGTAGTCCACGCTGGACCCCGACATCGGATCCGCCACCGCGAACAGACAGCAGTTGAGGGTCAGCACGGCCCAGAACGCGTTGATCCTCTCGCCCTCCTCGAGCAGCGTCACCGCGGGCGCGATCTCCGACGGCGACCCATGCCCGCCGTGGCGCGACCCCGCGCCGGAGCGGATCTTGTGGAAGTCCGCGCCGAGCACGATGGACAGCGCGGCGATCGCGTGGTAGCGCGCCTCGAGCAGCCGCGCGCCGTGGAAAAAGTACTGCGCGAGCAGCAGCGAGGCCTGCAGCGTCTGCAGGATGGCGCCGGGGCGGTGCGCGCTCGCAAGCCCCATCGACGTGGCGTGCAGAGCTGCGGCCAGGATCGTCGACTCGAGCGCCGGGTCGGCGGTAGAGAGCAGTACGCAGCCCCACAGGGAGATGGCGTTCAGGAGAGCCGGGTTGATGAGCTGCTCGGGGGTCGCTCCTGCGGACATGGGGTCGAAGAGCCCAGTGTGCAGGAAAAAGCCGAGAGCTTTGGCGTGCGCCAAAAATGTTCTTACGCTGAAAAATCATGAGGTTATGATTGGATAAAACTCCAAAAAGGCAAAAGGACACACAGTGGCTCATACGGAATGCGAGAAGTAGCAGGCCCAGCGGCGGCGAAAAAGTCCGATGGGTCCTCTGTTGGTTGTCAGACCGACCTGCAAAGAAATTTCCACGGTGCGATTCACCAAACATGTGTTGAACGTAGTCCGGCCCGAAAGGATTCTGCAAGATCACCGAGTGGTTCATCGCATGCGGCTGCTCGAGCTCGCGTATTCTCGATTGGACGATAGTGATTTGTTCTGCGGGATTTCGTTGAGCATCCGTTCAGTTTAGAGGAGATGCAGAGACTCGGCACCTTCGAGGATCTGAGACTGGGCCATGCCGGAATCGGAGTACTCGCAGTCGACGCATCCACCGCCAGTGAAGCGCTCACAAGGAGAGCAGATCGGTTTCTTGGCGTCGCATTTCTGAGTTTGCAACTCTGAGTATATTGACGAGTCAGGATATTTAGCCACATACAACTTTCCGCCGTCTTGAGGAGGACATGCGGTTAGCGAGACATGCTGCCACGGCGGGCAAGTCAGACGAACCTGCAGTTCAAGCACGCCTTGCCTTTATTCAGCTGATGCCTCTTCGGAGCCCAGTTCAGTTGCTGCGACATAGTATTTGGTGAGTAGGTTCTTTTGTTGAATGGAGTTGAGAGTGTTTTTGCGGGTTGTGCTTTCCAGAGCACGACTAGCGTCGTACTTATAGTACCGTGCACGCATCATAACAACGGAGAGCAGAGCCCAGTAGAATCGCGGAGGGACCATCTCCAGCTGTGGCTGCTAGACGACCCGATGGCGCAGATTCCCCACTTGCGTCCTAGGCGGTCGCACTGTGTTTCCAGGTCAAACTCCTCCATGACTCGTCAGGGCAGCTTAGGAATAGATTAAACAGCGCCGGAGACGCTCGGGGACTGCAGCGTTGGGATAATTGTCATGGAAGGCCTCCATCTCTGCCGCAGAGTAGCAGTCTAGGGGTATCCAGCGGGATGAATCATCGCAGAGTGATGGGCGTTGAGTCGCGGTTGCTCGTTGATTCCCCTGCTTCGTGAACTTGATGTGTCTCGTCAGCACGCTCACGCGCGTTTCGGCTTTGCCCGAGCCGCTCGAGTCTCTGGCACAATGCCTCCAAGAAGGTGAGATCGACTCGAGAGTCCCTCAGGCAGCTTTCGATTTCGCCCTCTGGACATCGACGCCTGCTGTTCTGCTGTCCCCGCCGTCCCCATCGCCGCCGCTCGACCGTCGAGCGGACAGACATGTCCCGTTCACGAGTAGCGACAAATTGCGCCGGCGTTGCTCGGACCGGGCGCTCAGTCGCCTGGAGGCAGCAGACCCGTAGCCCAGACTCCGCAGAGACGTGTCGCAGCGTCCAATCAGCCCCCACGTCCTCCTACTCCCACGACGATCAGATGATGGATGATGGATGTCCTCGGTACCTGGATTCATTGAGCGCCGTAAGTACCTCGACGTCGATGGCAATCCCAGTGCCCGTCACGATGAGCGATGGGCATCACGCAACCTGGGGATCCCGGATCCGCTGCGCTCCATGGGACCGGATGTGTACGCATCTTGCGGTGCTGTGCTGAGCCGCCATCTCTCTCCGGGCCTGCACCCTCCGCTCTCCATGGGCTGTCGACCGAGATGGCCGAGGGCGCGGCTGCTGTCGAGCACCCGGTACGCTCTCTTCTGCATTCGAATCTCAAGAAAGTGGCACTACACACATACAGTATATACAGATCTCGTACATCTATCTACTTCCATTAGCAGTTATATACAATACTAGCGCAACAAGATGCTCAGCGTCAGTCCAGTCGATATGTACAGCTCTCGGGTATTCAGAATCGAAAGGCGGGTCAGAACACGCTCGCGCTGCCGTGCAAGATCGCACCGCAGCGGCACACACGCCGCTTCGTCGGCGACTGGATCTCGAAGCGACACGTATGGTCAGCCGGGAGCCGGGTCCGACGCGGTGGGGCACATGATGCGCTCGCTGCGGGCGGGGGACGCTGCTCACGCGGAGGGTCACGGGTTGGTTTGTGTTTTCGAAGCGTCACGCGCGCGTCGGAGAAAGGAGCGGGCGCTGCAGCGAGTGGCGCAGAGACGCTGACGGGCGACTCCACGAATGGCTTGCGTGTGGGATGGCGAGGCTTGGATGACACGAGCATCGGCCCGGATGCGGTATCGAGGTCAACGAGGGTTTCATCAGTGTTCTCTCGAGCCAGGCGCCGGGTAGCGACCCGAGGACGACTGGAAGACGGATGCGGAGCGGGGACTGCCATGGCTGTTGGGACAGCAGTATTGGATCCTGACAGAGGAAGGGCTTGTCGGCCAACCGATATAGGAAAAGTTCCGCTGTGGACTGAGCCCCAGTGAGCTTGTCTATGCCATAGCCGAAATCGGACAGACGCACCTGTTTTGAGGTGACAAAGCCACCGTCCAGCAAGCCAGGCAAAGGATGGTTTCTCATGCTGGTATCCGACATAATACCTAGCCGCCCTTGACATAAGCGATCGAGCTCTGGACGATGAACCTACGACTCACCACACGGAAGCTTGAAGCAGGTACCTAGGTGTATCTTCGAGTACATTCGCCATCGCTGAAAGATATGTTCAGTAATGCAGCTGCCTCAAAGCAAGACCCAGCACTCACGCATCGGAAAATATCTGGCCAATATCTCCTGCTTCAGCACATCAGCGCGTTTCATGTCTTCATCCCATCCAGCCTCCTCTGCAACACCGTCAGAGACGCCGACCGCAAGAAAGAAAGACCACCGGCACTGACTCGCATCCTTGTCAGCCTGGATGGCGGCTTGCAGCGACTGGTTGTACTGCCTCATGATCTTCCTCGCCTCCGCACACGACTCGCTCCACGCCTGCTCCGATGTCGAATTCAGAAGCACCAGCTGCGGATCACACACAAACGTGCTGGCCGGTGCTTCTGCTATAGGAACCAGCCGGCTGAGCAGCAGTAGAGGGTCCTCCCAGCCGGGAACCTGCGTTGGCGGCTTGTTCCGCAACCTAAACATATTGAGGTCGGTTTTCAGTCCGGCCAGGCTCCCACCGCTCTTCACCAGGTCCTGTGGGTCGGTCAACCCAGTCAGAAACGTCGAGCGCGCAGGCCGATGCGCCCACCAAAGCAGTCTCCATCATCGGCAACAACCTCCGACACGCTTCCGAGTCTGCCAGCTCGGGCGACCGCACGACGTTCGCCATCCACTCCTTGTCGATCTGTCCGACCAGCATGTTCCCGTGCAGATCGACGAATGTCCTGACCGCGTCGGCCCGCAGGTCCTTGAACTGCTTCTTCCCCGCCGCGGTGTGTGTACGCCCACCGATGGTGACGGATGCGCTGGCCGGCGCGTGCTGCTGCTTGGGCGCGGGATCGGGAAAGTCGCGCGCACTGGGGATGAGCGATTGATCGAAGATGGTGAAGAACATGTCCCCGTCCAAATCCCTGTCGCAGATCAGTGATACAGCAGCTCCTGCAGGGCTGCAAAGTCTCTACCCTCCGCCCATCCGATCGGTCTCGCTGTGCGATCCACCCGTGCAGAACACTAGCCACCAGTCAGGGCACTCAAACATATCGAACTGCAGGTCCCTGGGACGGACGCACCAACGCAGTTCGTCAGGAACCGCAACTCGGGCCTGTCCACGGCCACCAGCACTCGCACCCCGTTGGGATCGTACGCAGGACTCCGCAAGACGGCAACAGGGCCGACCTGCACGCCGCCCTTGCTGGGCAGATTCACGTACACCTCGCCTTCCTTGAGGACGTCGCTCGGATCGGCCACGCCGTAAAGATTATACGAGCCCTGCGCTTCGTGAGAGGTGGGGTGTTAGGCAGTGGCGGTATGAGCCGCACCTTGACTGAGATGTTCAGTTTGTTCCGCAGACTATCGAGAAAGTGCTTTCGGAACCGCTGAAGCTGCGTTGCAACGTAGGGCTCTGTGGCATCGAATCCGGCGAGGAGCATCTCGTACACTGCATTCAGGTCATATGCAATCGATGCCAACATGCGAGATACGGCTTACAGTCCTGGAAGAAAGCTGCCCCGTCCGAATCCAGGTCGCCCTCGACGCATTCGAGCGCCCGCTCACGATTCGTAAGGATATCGTCGATCTGCTCAATCTGGAGACGAAGCAGGTCCTCGAAGACCTGTAGCAGGCACATCAGACCTCTCTCTCGCTCTAGATGTCAAGTGCAACGCACTTCGAGCCGGATCCCACGGGTCAGTAGTTGCAGAATAAACTGCTTGTTGAGCCGTCCGGCTTTGGCTGCCTTGGATACATTCTGAATCTCAAGCATATTGGGGCCGCCTGAATACTTGAGCATCGACGGGCGGTACACCAGTTTCTTGTCCGTCACACCGCCGCAAAGCCGGTGGAACAGGTCGTCAGGGATGACAGTGACCATGCCCTTGATGCCACCGAGGCGGATCTGCCATGCTACAGTATCCTTCTTAGCACGTGTGTTCTACAGGGACGAGGGCACACATACCGGACGTGTCCTGGGGGATATCGAGTATAGCGGTGACCTCTGACGCGAATGACTGGGGAACGAGCCCGACCCCGTCTGTGGTGAGCGAGCCGTCGTCAGCTCTGAGGTCGGGTAGTTCGCATCGTTCTTCTGGAAGGATCTGCACAGAAGGATATGAGGCTAAGAGAGAGTAAGCTGAGGAGCCAAAGTACGTACATTGATCGACGGCACAGTAGAAGAGAAAGACAGCCCGAGACGGGCACAGAATTTGCCGGGTCCATCCTTGTCATAGACCGCCCTGACCTGGCCCAGGCTTTCCAGCAAAGAGGCGACGGTGAAGTCCGAGCCTTCTCGAAAGTACAGCACTTGGCTGGATTTGAGATTGTTCTCGGTGTACCCAAAGTACTTGTATCTGTCAGCGCACTCGTCAGAACGGCTCAATCCGGGCGATACCAAGCCTGGAAACATACACTTCCTGGTCCTGCAACAAGATCTCCGACTCGTCCCGAGTATTAGCCTCTAGCCACTCTTTGATGAAGCGATCTTTCGATTTCTTCGAGAAGCAGACGACCAAGAACCTCTTGGCGTCGCCCACCAGCCTCGTCACGCGCGACGCATTCGTGTGGTGCAGCACAGGCAACGAGACCTCTCCGGCAGCGTCGTCTTGCAGATCGACGGTCAATCGCCACTGGGCCACGCGCGTCTTTGAGAGCCCGGTTGGCGGGGGCATGGGTTGGCGGCGGTCGGAGACTCGTCGCGTCGCGCGAGTGAGCGGAAGCAAAATTGCTGGCAGCAGTCGCTAATTATGAACTAGGTCACACTAACACGTGAGCGTGCGTCACACATTTCTACTTTCACCCGGCCCAGCTGGACATTCGAGACGGCGGTCGCAGTGGACAAGGCGTTTGGAGACATACAGGCCAGCAGGCAGCTTGTGATTTGAAGTCGCGTTGATAATTTGGGCGAGCGGGTGGCGGATTCACACGAAGGGTCGACAGTCGAACTTGAGGCACAAAGAGGACTATATATCACTTCCTGACTGGCGATTCATGGGGTGCGATGCCATGTACGAGCATATTTGCGATTCTGATACCGATTTCGTGAAAAAACATTTCTTCCCTAGTCAGCAACCATTAACGACGATGGGTGCTGTTGTCACTGGTGGTGGTTAAGAAAGAAGGCAGTGGACACCTGTGACCCAGAATGACACTGTAACACGGTCACGCGCGTCTCGGATGATCCCGAGGTGTGTCTATCAACAGCCGTGATAGGGTACTCTGTGCTTGAGCCAACCACCTTCACCAACACCTACGGGACTAGTGCATGATCTAAATTTGGGGCACTTCCCAGAAACCGTCCTCGGGTTGGTCTCAGGTGACACAATCTCCCCCATCTATGTAACAAAGTTCGCATAGTCTACACCCTCCGAGAAACAGTGCTATGCCCAAAGTCCTCGGACGAATCTATCGATGGTTTCTGAGCTTCCAATGGCCCTGATAAAGTTCAGCAGTCCGATTTCCAAGACTACCACGCGTTTGCCCACGATACTACCTTCCCACGTGACCGTGTCAGCTCGGGACACGGGTTTCTCGCAGGCCGTCCCTCGCGCAGCTCGTAAGCGAAACAAGATGATGCGTTCACCGGAGATCTTCCATTTAATTTATACATATTTCTGACTAGTTACTAATGGTACAATGTGAAGTATGCGTCAGACGACCACGAATGCGTGCACCAGTGCCGTGGAATCAGATAGTACAGATCCCATCGACGGAGAGGACGGCGGGGACGTTTACAGCCAAGTACAACAACAATTCGCCTCGCTCGTAGAGTCGGGGCTGTGGATATCAAGAAAGGACAGGGATGGCGGTCCTACGACCGAGACCGGGACACGAAGATGGCGAGGAGAACGATGAACGGGATGTAAGTGACCAAGGATACTCCTGCCATGATCCGACACCGCTTCCGCCACGAAAGGGCATCTATACGTCCGGATTCAGCACTCCTCGGTCGCTAAAGGCAAGATCACAACGCACCGAATTCTATCTGGGGATCGTCCAGGACGACAGCACGCTCGGCCTTCTCCTCGACATCCAGCTTGCGTGTCCTCGGCACGGGAACGAGGAGCCCCGCAATCCACCACAGCGGGAACACGACAAACCCGAGAAAGAACAGCCACGCGTGCGCGGGGCTCGTTCCCCAATCAGGCGCCCAGCCTGTCGGCTGCACCCGGGGCGCTTTGCGCGGATCGCGCATGTGGTAGTTTGTCCCGGCGGAGCGTGCGATCGACGGTGCGTGCGGGGAGACGAGCGCGGAGATGGGCAGGGACGTCTGCGACATATGGGATGTGGCGTGGGACGTTTGCCTGACGGATGCGGGCGAGCTGCGGGTGGACTTGGACCTGTGGGGCGGGGTGGATTCTGGCGTGGCGGAATCGCTTGTGGTGGACAGGGGAGAGGGCGGGGTGTCGGAGGCAGGGCGGAGTCTAGTGGTGCGCTGCTGCTGGGGGGTGTAGGATGAAGGAGCTTGGGATGATGATGCGGAGCGTGAGTGTGAGAGAGTGGGGGTGACTGCCACGTTTGGAAGTAAGTTCCCTGCAAAGAGCAAGACACTCGGAATTGGCTTACCGCGGGTCCGGCGGTTCGTCGCAACGATAGATAAAGGAGGGGTGTTTTCGCTGTCAGAGATACGAGCTTTCCGCTTGTCCTTGGTAGTCGCTGCCACTTCGGAGATTGATCGAGTAGGAGGGCGAGGCCGGAGAACGATTCCCGATCCCTCGCTTGCTGCGCGGGATCGGGCGGACTTCAAGGCGTGTTTGTGCGGCTGAGCAAAGCGGGGAGCATGATAGACTTTAGTCGGGTCCATGGCCGATGTCGAGGGTTCAAGGGAGTGTGGGGTAGGTAAGGATGAGTGGGAAGACTCTGTGTGAGAATTATACGGTGAGGATCCTATTGAATCTCCCTTTGAAGCCCACGCACCAGTGAAAATGCGCGGCGAGAGGGAGGAAGAAGGGTCCTAAACGAATGAAGCAGGAAATGAGTGAAAGAGTGAGAGGAGGATGGAGATGGAAGAACAAAGGCACGCACCACGAGGTTATCGCGTGCATCAAAATCATCATCAAGATTAGTGACTGCTTCACTGTCACGTTTATTACCGCCTTCCGAAACACTGTCATCAGCAAGATTCTCCAACCCCGGATACAGCTCCTCTGTTCTCTTCAACGCGGCGCGCAATGGGCTGGGATGCGAATCATGGCTGTGTCTTCTGAATTGCCCTGGCCTCCGCGACGAGGCGGGAAAATCAAATATATCTTGCACACTTGCTCGATCCTTGCTGTTCCTTCTCTGGACGCGCCGTTGGAGCCAGACACTCTTGTCAAGAACGGCCTGTGAGCTAGGAGAACTCGGGCGGCTTTCGATTCTTCCCGGTTGCTCAGGCGAAGCCAAGCCACTCGTTGCCCTTGGTGAATTCGACGCCGGGGATGCGCTCCGTGCGCTCTTCGACTCCTCATCTGAGCCGAAGGTGAAGCGGAACGAGGGATATTGTGGGGACTCCGGCACCGATTCTGTCCTTTGATGTGACGCGGTCGAAGGTGTCGCCGGTGTTTGCGGCCGAGAATGGGAGAACCATTGAGAGTTGGATGTTTCGCTCTGGCTAAGACTAAGAGACGCACGCCCCACCCCGAACTCCTCCATTGGTACGCGCAGCACCCTCCTCCCCCCGTCGCGACCGAATGTTGACCAATCTGCAGCTGAAGGAGACCGTGCGTCATCTGTAGTTGTGCTGGTGCGGCTGGTAATGCGCGACAAGCGGGACTGGGTTCGCCCTGCGAACGAAACGGGTATAATGGATGGACCAGCAGGCTCGTCGTCTGCATCCGGCCGTCGTATCACAGGAGTTGTTCCACTGATGGAATGCCGTCTCGCACTCGGTCTCAGCGCCGTCGTTATCTCTGTCGCACTGGTTGCTTCTGTCGGACCAGTTCCAGACTCGTGGACACCCTCTGCATCAGCGCACTGTGTCCAGCTTGCCACGAGCGCATCTAAATCCGGATGAATCCTTCGTTCCAACAATGGCTCGGCCCTCTGCTGGCAGTGCGACGACACGGTGCTTGCGAGATTGTTGAGGGGCAAGCCCGACTGCACTGCGGCCGAATCACTCTTGGCTCTCCCTCTGCGAAAGCGGGCGAAGATGTGTTCCATCCGCGTGTCAGGGCACCATGAGCGAGAATAACGAGGAGTACGGAAGAAAGGGGTTCTGGCGCGAAAGGAGACACTTGGATGGGACCCCTGGGATGAAAGCAATAAAAGCGTGGACAAGGAGCTGAAATAAGAAGCGGAAAAAGACTAGGGGTGCCCTATCGTGCCTGCCCACAATCTTCAGTGCGGTCCGGCATTTGCACCCACGGGATCTGTTCCACAGCCTAGAGCCTCGCAGGGTCCTAACAACGGTTGTACCGTGATCTGCCCGACTACCACCTAACGTATTTGCACGTTGCCCATTAGCGGACATCTCTCCTCGCATCAAAGAACGAAAACCGTATGAGCCGATGCAGCGGCCACTGGAGCAGACGGTCCTCAATCCCACCGAGCCGGCGTAAAGAGACTAGCAGGACTGTCACCTCACTGTCAACTTGGAAATGAACGTTCGAACAATTCGCACTGTCTCGCCATTCGCTCCACACAGCGCATGTAGCTGACGGGTATAACGCTGAAGAAGCATGGTAAAGCAGCGCGGCAAGCCACCATCTTTTAGCAGACATGTCTGCTCGAGTATTGGATAAGCCAGTGGAATCCGATACAGCAAGGAAGGTTCTCCTGCTCACCATCACGGCCCAAGCTCCATTTGGAATCCCACGCTCCAGTGACTATTCAATGATAATGTAATCGCGCAAAGCAGGAATCGGCTGCAGACACGAACGATCTAAACTGAGCGTCAAGCTTTCAAATTCCTGCCCCGTTGAAGGGAGGCCGGGAGATAGAGCCCTTCGTTCGTCCTCTCCAGGTGCAGAGTGTGGTAGAAAGACAGTCCATTTCGTGCTACGACGAGAAGCCAAATACTTCCGCGCTGAAGAAAAGGAAGAACTGACGACAATCCTGCTACAGTAACCAAGGATGAGGGAGCAGAGACTTGATTGACATCGCTGCGCAGATCCGGCGTCGAGTGTGCGTGAGCTGCGGGACCGTGGCCGGAGTGGAGTAGCGCGTGCGGGCAGAGACGGAGACGGCGTGCACCGTTCGGAAAAAGTGCAGAAGCGGGAGCGAAAGCAGCATGCTATCATTGTGCGCTCACGTTCCTCGAACGCGGAGGCCATACCCGAAATTGACCCAGGGAAGTCCTGATTTGGAGAGCTCTGCAAGACCGAGATGGCACACCCGGCAAACAGACGCCCTAGCGAGGCAAGGGATCGGCGGCACCGTCGCTAAGCCGAAGCAGTCGTATTCAGTGCTACATGTCCCCACCGCCCTCTCTTCGGTGTAGACCCCGGAAAATCAGCTCTGGCGAGACGCCTCGGGATGAGCCCAGCAAAACAGAAGGTAGAAGAATGGGGGCGGAGGAGCTAGAGAGGCCGATTATACAAACCAGTGGACGCGTAGGCCTTGGTAACTTATCGCGGAAGGAGAAGCCGTCACGTTGAGCCCGCGGACACACTTGAAGTCGAGCTTCGATCGAGTCTGCGTCTCAGCATACGGCGATGAACTCCGTCGATTATCTCCCGCGGGCCCGCACGATTGCAGCCGCGTCGCGGAACACGGTGTCGCGCTGTGCATGGAGTACGATGAATCATGAGGGCAGGGTCCATAAGCCAAGTGTGTCATCAACAATTGGTGAGTGATCGGCAGCATTCGGTCCATAATGCAAGGGATGTCATCCTGATCGGACAAGAAAGCCGAAATCATCCTCTTCCAAGTCCGCTTCCAGGTCGGTCGGCCACTTGAAGAATGGCCGATGTTCAGCCCACCCAAGCCACCCGTCTGCAGAAGTGCTGGGACCACAATCAGTCCTTCGCGGACAGCGATTCTCGGCCTCGCAAGCCGTCGTCTTCGAAATTACCTTCTCAAATGCGGAAGTCAGTGCCACTTAGGCCCTAGTAGCTGCAGGAGGAGCGAAGTATACCGGGGATATTTTTGTTGGCCTGATGCGGTGCATTCCGAATGATGTCTCAGTCGAGATACTCGCCGGGACGGCGTTGTTAGATGCTGCGATTGTAAACTGGTTCCTACGAATCACGGGCTAGCAGCAACTCTTGTATCGCCCCAACGGTCCCCACTGATCAGTCATACTCGCCGTCTTCACACTGACTACCTTCTCGCCCTGAAGTTGGAACTCCATCTCCTGACCCAAGACATGATCAACCCAGTAACATCGTTTTTAGACTAAAGAACTAACTCATTGCGTGGTATCTCCATTTCGGGGCGGGAGATATCAATACTACTCATTATCGCCAGCCAGCGCATGGACTATCAACGGAGCACGACGTGGAATCAAAGCTAGATCCTCCGTGGCCTCAGGTCAAGATTCTGGTCGAAGTCAATCTCGAATGGCACACAAATTCGAGTCTCGCAGCCGAACATACGGGCCGCTAAACCGTCTCATATTTGCTGTTCAGTAGTGGGATACTCCCCGGAGTTTCATTTTCTCATGCGAAGACACCACTTCTGGACCATCCGGTCGTCGTGATAGGTTCGTCCCCTGCACAGACCGGCCCCATTCGTCCGATTGTGGTCCTAATCTTCCACTCGTCCTGAACTGTTGTTATCAAGCTACTCAGGCTCTTCCTCCAGCTGTCATCAGTGTCTGCTGAAAGCTGACTGAAGCCAAGGATCTACTCCGTCTGCTCAGGATGATGCACGGACAACCGCATCTCATCCGTCTCTGACAGTCTCACTGTCGTCTGGGTATCGGAGCTCTAGAGCCCGGTTGGCTACTCACTTGTGTTCGATGTGGCTCATTCTCGCCCACAGTCGTTTCATTTTCGATCGGCAACTCTCCGCTCAAGCAATCAAGATGAGATCGTCATAAGGAACTATACCAGAGGGTCATTGAAAGCAGTCGAGACGCAGAGCGTGAATGTGTCTTTCGTTCTGTCCGGTGAAGACGGAGTTGATGCGCGCCCGCAAAATGTAAGTGGTTTGTTACTTCAAAGTGTGTGCTTTCTCGAGTTGATGACACAAAGGCTTCACCTTACATCAGTATAAATCCATCAAGGTCCTTTCAAAATCTTTGGATAGTCTCTATACGCAGTCGACGAACAGTGACTTCGCGTGGCATCCAACACTTGAATGCGTGAGTAAGAGGGAGCTAAGAGATCCCCTGACTCCCGTCAGCTGAGAGCAACTCGGACGTCATCCGCAATTCATCCCCACGAGTCCACCCGCGCATATATAACTCCACCTCCATGTCCCTCCCGTCCACAATACCGAACCTATGGCTCTGAGACCCGGCGTCGAATCTGCTCTAGCAGGGGCCCACGCCCTCCCCACTGCGCTCTCGCTCTTCTCGCTCTCCAACCGCGTGGCGCTCATCACCGGCGCGCACCGTGGCATTGGCCTCGAGATGGCCTTGGCGCTGGCGGAGGCAGGCGCGGCCGTGTACTGCCTCGACATCCCTGCTGCACCGGACGCAGACTGGCGCACCGTCCAGGAGAGCGCCGCTGCGATGCCCGGGGTGGGGCGGCTCGAGTACGTCAGCGGCGACGTGACGGACCAGAAAGGGATGTGGGCTCTCGTCGAGGAAATCGTCAGGAAAGAGGGCCGCATCGACATCTGCGTCGCCGGCGCTGGGATCCTGCACGGCGCCGAGTGCTTGGAGTACGAGGCTGACGACTTTCGCAGAGTGGGTGGCGTTTGGTTGTAGACACTGTAAGCTCAAGTGGGGGACAGGTTCTGGACGTGAACGTCTCGGGTGTCCTTTTCGCGGCCCAGGCTGTGGGGAGACAGATGGAGAAGCTCGGGACTCCGGGCAGCATCATCCTCATTGCTTCAATGAGCGGGACCATCACAAACAGAGTGAGGATACACCACCTTGAACCAGAACGAGCACCCGCATTGACCGGGACGGCTTCCCACAGGATCACCACTGGGTCGCATACAACACCAGCAAATCGGCCGTCCTCCAGATGGGACGCTCCATGGCGTGTGAGCTCGCGCCGAAGGGTATACGTGTGAACACTATCAGCCCGGGGCACATCATCACCAAGTTGCGATCAGCCCATCTTCGACCCGTTGGCTCGATACTCATTGCAGCCGCACAGGATGACACGCGAGTTCCTCGATAAGCAGCCCGGGCTCGATGCGAAGTGGGCGGGGCTCAATCCCTTGGGCCGGCTCGGCAGATCGGACGAGTTGCGCGGCGTCGCGCTCTGGCTGGCGAGTGATGCGTCCAGCTTCTGTACCGGGAGCGAGTGCGTGCTTTCTCCATATAGGGCGGAGATATCTGATTGCTGACGTGTCGTCTCTTTTGTCGTGCTAAGCATCCGAGTCGATGGGGGTCATTGCGCGTGGTGAATGGTAAGCCTAAAGTGGTAAAAAGGAAACCGATGCTTTTGGACAATTGCCAATGTAGGCAGGACGTGGCTATGTAAAGCCGTGTGATCTACTTTACCTGAGCACGTGAGGAGCCCTTGCGCGAATCCCTTCGAACTTGGAAGTGCATCTTGACACTTTCTGTTGTGAACATTCTGGGTCCATCCCATACCTACCGCTCCGTCATGCAAATAATTCCGGAGGAATTTAAAGATCATCTGACGGATTCATTACGTAGGCCGCGGCCGCAGTTGCAATGGCGGCCTCGAAGAGACCTGCGTAGCCGGCGAGAACGATTCGGATGAAGACGCGGATCCTGCAACGACCACTTCTTCGTAACCTGGATCCAAGCACTCTTCGCGCCCTTTCGCCTCTATCTCCACCGGCTTGATTTGCGCACCAGCCCGAATTCAATCGCCATCTGCTCCGATACCTAGCGGCGGTCCAAACATAGTACTAGAGTGGCCAGGCATCGAATCGAATCGGGGCTGGATGAGACAGCTGTTACCAGGAAGTACTTGTTGATCACGCGAAGCGCCGCCGCTGCGCCACGATATCGCGCCCGTTCCCAGGCTTTATTGTGCGACGTCACCGGTCGCGGAGGGACTCTGGGACGCCAAGGGCCACGCTAAAGGCTCCGGACGCCGTCCCACCGTCCCGGACCACGCGACGCTATTGTCTCGTCCCAAGCCGTCCTGTTGGGCACCCCGCGCGCGTCGCCACGGACGTCACCGACGACGTCGATGAACCGCGCGCCCGGATGATCCGTCCAATCCCCACGGAGGCCAGCCATGCGTGACGGAACCTTGTTTATGCTGTTGTTTGAGTTCTTCGAAGCCTCCGCCCGGGGAGACAGCCAAGCGCTTCCCATGGGTCGAACCCACCAAGCCACGTTACTACCACGCGAGCGAGAAGCTCTCTCTCTCCCACCCCCTCTTCCGATTATATTATCGAGTTGGCAGCCAGGGCTTCGCTTCGACATCGGGATCGTCGTTGGTAGTCAAGTGGGGATCTTCAGCTGCCCGACAGTCTGGCTTTGTGACTCGGGCGAAGAAGCCCTCTGTCTGCGCGGTCCTTCCCCTCTGCATATGATTGTTGCTGATGCAGCCAACGCGCTGGATTCTGAGCTCGACGGGGTCTGTAGAATGGCGATGGTCACCAACCATCAACGTCAATGTCCTGTCTGGTCTGATGTCGAACAATCGCTACTCATGTACAAATCAATTTTGCAGGATCCTTTTTTTATTGACAGTTCAGGTAAAAAAACACAATCGGCACTAGGGTAGGTAAGTAGCAGGAGTTCGGGAGCCAAACTAGTAATACAGCAGTGGGTGATCAGACCGAGAAAAAGCTACACGGAGAAAGAGGCAGATGTAATCTACACGGGGAATCATAGTGGAACGGAGGATGGACACAGCGGGTGAGGTGATAATACAGTTCAGTTCGTTTGCGTTTTCGGAGTGACAGGATTAGGCAGGCTGTAGGGAGGGTGGGTGGAGGAGACCAGAGGGTATTGATTGCTTGTTGTGTGCACAGTTTTGTTGGGGGGACCCGTGGCTGGCCTCGCGGGAGTGCGCAGGGAGTAATATACCCTGCGTCACTCCGGTCTAGGGTAGTGGTGGTGGCGGTTGTAATGCGGCGTCGTCGTGTTAGATTGGTAGGCAAGAAAATGGGGCGACTGGGCGCCAGCATCGTCCTGTGTTTCGAACGAGGACAGAGAAGAGCTCGGTGGTTGGATCGGCGACGTCGGCAGCTGCAGACGCAGGTGGTGTTCCTGCCGGGAGCGTCGGATAGGCTGCTCAACCGGACTAGGGCTGCCGAGCCGTTGATACGAGACGTTCGGGGCAGAATGCACCATCCCGTAGCCAGGTCGCGGACCAGCGGAGAGCGGCGGCGATACCGAGTACTGCGAGATGGGCTGCATGGGCTGCGGCGACATGAATGAAGGAATGTGGGGCTGCATGTGGGGCGCGTGAGTGACGAGGGACGTCGAAGTGGGCGGTAAACGAGAGGCAAGCGCGTCGGGGAACTGTTCAAAGAAAAGAGCGGCGACAAGCAACGCGCTCGAGTGTTCGGCGGGGATAATAATGACGCCTCCGCCTGGGAAAGTGCTGCTGCTGCCCCAGCCGGCGATGGCAACAATCTGGTTTTCAAAAAGAATGCGGGACAAAGAACGGAATGTGGTCTGGTTGACCACGTTGGCATCCGGGTCGGCGATCCGGTCGGGCATGAACGTCGCGATGGGCGGGGCGTGCTGGTGGATCCAGGCGCGCGCCTCACGAAGAATAGGCGATCCGTGCACGAGGTGCGCGAAGAACTGGGTTGGCCAGCCAGCGACTTGGCTGCGGGAGAGGAAATGAGCATGCGGCATGGATCGACGGTCAGGGGACAGCACAAACCTATCGCCGTCAGTTTCTACTGCCGTGACGCGAATCTCCTGGTTGCCGCCAGGATCTGACGCCCTCATCCCCCGTACAGTGAGAATGCCGCGCCATGGCCGCCCGAGCTGGCTCTGCACTTGGGTTGACGGCGGGGGGATGAAGTTGTCGAGATGCGTGGGGAGTCGGAAAACCATAGGAGTGTGAAAGGGAGGGCAACGAAAGGGAAGGGAAAGGGAACGAATGAATGGAGGCAGTTTGGTGTCGCCCTGGAGACTTTAACCATCCGTACCCGTGTATCTACGACGGACAATTAAGGAACCGATAGCGCGTCGACGATCGGATGTCAGCCAACATCAACCGTCGTGGACATCGACGACGACGACATTCTCGAAAGAACAAACAAGCGAGCCTGGATACCTGGATGACGTGAATGATGTGAAAAACGTGAGCGGCCCGGACGCTACCGGTCGGTCACAACACCGCCACCTCCCTTTGGCCACTCCATGCTTACATATATTTAGCACCGAAAATAGCGAGCGGATAGTTCCCTCCGGACTCAGGAGTCGAATGTGGCGGCGAGGCGTGTGTTCCCCCCACTTTTCCGGCAATTCTTAATTCCCCCGAGCTCCTCCAGCTGAGTAACAGTCCAGCGCAACCACCACCCGATTTGCATCTGCCCACCTGTCGATCCTTTCCCGTCTTAGCTACACAGAACGAGTAAACTTCCTTCCATGGCGGGTACGTCGGGGACAAGATCCTCGTGGCACTCACGCGTGGCATACACGTTGTTACCGGGTCACGTGCATACCCGCTAATCCTGGAAGGTTCCTGATCGTTGCGATCTACTGAGGATTGATGCGAGATTGTAATGCGAGATCCTTGACGACCTCGATTAGCTTGGTGTTCTATGGGCTGACTTGGCTACGGGTACGAACAGAATGAAAACCTGGTTCTATTCGTTCCTTCGGGTGTCGACGGCTTACACGGAAACTACAATTACTTATGGCAGAAAATAGGCACATACACAAGTAAGTAAGCATCTGAAGATCCGGATAATAAGATAAGTCATGATTCGATCAAGATAGATCAACACTAGCGCAGATCAGCAACGCAACCAAATCACAAGGTGCTCGACGACGCGGGGGGCAGCACCGGCTGGCCACTCGGTCTCGCCAGCTCAAACTGGACCCACAACTCCATCTGGGCGTCCTTGAGCCGGGCGAACTTGTCCTGGAGCGCACCAATGGTCGCAACATCAGCCTCTCTCAGCTCTCGGACCTCGTTCAAAGACGTCTCGGCCTGCGCCCTCTTCGCGCGCTCGCTCTCCAGCTCCGCCGCGATATCACGTGTATTCGCCATCTCGGCTTGCAAATCCCCCTTTATCTGGACAACATCAGCATGCAGCTGACCTCGGTCCCGATCTGCCTGCGCAAGCTTCTGGACCATGTCCTGGACATCTGCCCGAGCCGATACGAGCGTATCATTGAGCGTCGTCAGGATCACGTCCTTGTCAGCGATCTCTGACGTGTGCTTCCTCCCGGCGATATGCAAGCGCGTCTCCACCTCGCCTAGACGTTTGACAGCCTCCTCGAGCTTTGCGGACACATCGGCGGACTTGGCCGAAGCGGCCTCCAGCTCCGAGCGTGATTTCTCGCTCGTCACGGCCAGCGTGGATTCTAGGGCGGCGTGGCTGGCTTGCGTGTGCGCCAGCTGCCAAGTCAGAGCTGTCAGTGTCTCTTCTGCTTGGGCCGCTTGCACGCGCGTAGCTTCTTGTGCAGTCAAGAGCTCAGATTTGAGTGCAGCAACTGTTTCGTCTCGAATCCCAAGCTGCTTAACCGACTCGGCGGACAGCTGCTCGATGCTTGCCACCGCTCGGCCTTCAGCCAGACGCAACTCGTCAATGGTGGCCTGGAAGGACGAGTTGCGCAGCTCTGCTTCGGAAAATCGGTCAGCCAGACAGGATCTTGCGGCCTCGGCTTCGATCATCTTGCTGCGAGCCTCATTCAGGGAGGCTGCGAGCTCGGCGTTTCGACTCTCCAAAGCAGACATCGCTCCGGCCTTCGCAGTTAGCTCACCCCCGAGCTCAGCTTCTCGTTCGCTTAGTTGTGCTGCCTTCGACTCGATCTCCGTCCGGAGTAGACGAGTCGAAGTCTCGAATACACCGACTTTCAACCGCATATCCTCGGCTTCCTTCTTTGCTGCAGCCAATTGTGCTTCCAAGACCGTTTGGATGCTGATCCGTTCAGCCAAGGCACTGTCGAGAGCATCCATTTGAGGCTTCAAAGCTTCGGCAGCGTCACGTAAAACTGCGAGCTTCGCATTCAGCTCGACGGCATCCTGGGCAAGTGATTCGTTTCGTTCCTCCAAACGTGAAATACGGACATCTTTAGTCGCAATCGTTTGCTGGAGCTGACCTTTCTCGCCCTCAAGATGGGCGATCTGGGCAAGAAGATCCGCCTCGTCGGTCCGAGGAACGTCAGCGGCTAGCTGCGCCTCCAGCATGACTTTCTCAGCCGCATTGGCATCGGCCCGCTTTCTCGTCCTGGCCAGTTCAGAGTCCAGAGTCGTCCGTTGCTCGCGAAGATCTCTCAGTTCACGGCTAAGTGCCACGACGGCGCTTTCTGCCTTGGCAAGTTCCTCCTTCAGGCTCTCCACTGGGGTCGCGCTATAATTATCTGCAGAGGCTGGCAGTTCGATGTAGGCCGGTTCATCGGTGATGTCATCGTGCAATTCCATCTCTGTCGGCGCGGGTGTTGGTTGTTTGCTCAGCTGGTCGATGAAGGAACGAGATTGACGAGGACGGGCACTGGCGGTAGCCGGCGTACTAAAAGATTGTAATTAGCATGCATGGAAGATCCACCAGTGATGCAAAAGACACGCACGGAACCAACACGTTCTCCATACTTTCCTCTAGCTCCGTCAAGGGCGAAGGCGGCTCACGCGTCGGCTCCCGCACTGGTCGGTGACTTGCAGCAGCCGATGACGTCCGCGCACGCTTACGACCCTTGATCGGCGATGACGGCAACTCCACGAGCTCGTCGTCCGAGTCATCCCCTGCGGGCACACGCGAGTTGCGCAGCCGCTTGCGAGTTGGTGTGGCAATTGGCGTGCGGAGCACCTGTTTCCACAGGTCGACCTCTTGCTCGATCGTCATGTCTTGGCTGTTGCTCGGGAGGTCCAGCGCGCGGCGGGCAGTAGCAATACTAGATATATGAGATTCGAGCATAGGCAATGTAATGAAACGCAGCGTACATCTTCTTGCCACTGAGCGACAACGCATAGGCCCCATGATCTTTCTCCAGGATGCCTTCTTCCGTCTGACAGTCCTCAGGCTCGATTAACATGACGGCCTGAAGAATGACGCACCAAGACGCCGATGGCCTTCGTGACGAACGTCTTCCAATGTGGGCCTAGCTTCTCCTTCCGCTCCTGCGCCATCTTCTGGACTACACGCGTCATGACGATCGTTAATTATCGGTACAAGAATAGGAGCGAGAAGTGCGCACCGCGCGCGTGGATGCTCGCAGTGCGGATGGCATGTTTGTGCGTCTCACGCTGGATTTGGGACATCGCGCCCATGACACCTAGAATGAGCGAGCCAGTCAGCCACGCGCCCCACACTCGCACGCTCCACAACGACGTACGTTCTGTATACCGCGGCGCGACCTTCGCGGCCTTGGGACTTTTTGAAGCCACCATGGTGCTCGGCTTCCGTATTGACTGTGAGAAATGGGAGAGGTGGTGGGTCAATGTGTGCGGTCGAATGTAAGGAAAGGAGACTTTGTGACATAACGCGGCTTTGGGTATGTGATGTCGTCACGTGACGGCGCACGTCTGATGGCGCCAGCACGGCGCCGCCCTTTGTTCAGTCATGGCGAGTCAGCTACGGAAGCGAAGATAGGATTGGCGATGACTGGCGACGACTCGTGTATTGTCTTCCTACTCGATCGAGTGCGACACATGGCGTCGTGTCTTCAACGAGCAAACCCCCAGATCGTCGGCGAAAACTTCTCCTTATCAGACCCTAAGGGTAGCGAGCGGATGGTGATTCCCGTTGCACTGACGCCGCTCTGACACTCTCAGCCAGCTTCCTCAAACCCACCGGGAAACCCAATTTTGGGTCCCATCTGTCATCTTTCGTCGTTCTCCGCACGCTTCTTCCGCGCGTTCTCCATTCTTCGATATGGTTTGTGATGCAGACTGATCATGAGCGGTAGGACGCCGCAACACGCGCCGCGATGCAGTAATGTAGAATGACAACCGCTGCTGCGGTTTGTGCTGCGGTTTTTCCTTCTTGGGGGTGATGCTGCCCAGGGTCTGTCCGGTTCGCTCGGCACGATCTCTACGCCCGTTGTCCGTTTTTAGCATACGAAACTAACTCCAGGCCCGTTGCGCAGGAAGCCTGCGGACACTTGCCTTCCAGAAATCCAACTTGCGCATCACTCGACCTGGAGCAAGCCAAGGTCCCCCGCCCACATACCCAGACCACCGAAGTGCATTGTCCGGTCTTCATCTAATGGACGATCCCACGCACTGTCCCGGGCGTCTCTGCATCCGACATGCCGTCTCCTCGACATCGCCGCATAAGGAGCGCAATTCCCAAGGACGTTGGGCTGTGTTATAGAGTTACAGGGAACGGCGTGATGACACCACTCTAACCCGCCCACTCCCTCTACCTGCACAACCATGGACGCAGTCAACGCGCACCGCGACAACGCCATCAGCAACCCCTTGTCTCCGCTGGAGGTTCTCGCGCGGACACACGCCATCCTGTGCACGGTGGGATTTCTCATCCTCTACCTCTCGGTGTCCTCCTCGCTCGATACGTCCGCACCTTCACCGGCCGGCGAGTGTTTCTGTTTGCTGCCAGCTGCTCCGTCTGACAGGTTGAGAAAAGCTGGTTCTGGGGCCACGCCTCCTGCAGCTCGTCATCTCGGGTCCCGTGATCTTCGCTGGCTGGGCGGAGGGGCACAAGCTGCCAAGCAGCTTGGGTTCTTGACTGTGCATGACCCGCACCAGAAGATCGGTGTCGCTCTGCTTGCGCTCTATGTGTTCCAGCTGCTCGTGGGGATCGTCATCCACTTCTTCAAGTGCGCGGGTCTCTTCAGAGGCCACCGCCCGCCGCAGAACTACATCCACGTGCTGCTCGGCTTGACCATCCTGGCACTGGCCGCCTATCAAGTGAGCGAGAGCGTTTGCGGATACTTCCGAGGTGGACTAATCTGTTGCTAGGCGCACTACGGCCTGTACACCGAGTGGAACTACGCCATCGGGGAGAACCATGAAGTGCCCGACTCTGCCAAACATGCTTGGTGCTCTCGTCGTGGTTAGTGTCCGGTGTTTGCCTGATCTTCTGGGCTGATACGACCGCCGCGTAACAGGTCTCTGGGTGCTCTATTTCCTGGGCATGGCGCTCTTCCCCCGTCAGCTCAAGCGAAGGCGAATTCAGAAGTAGAGCACGTGGGGATTTGAGAGGCAAGGTGCAGGATGAGGGACGGCATCCGCTGAAGAATGACGCCCGGCCCTTCGTACAGTAGAGTCAAGAGTGAGCCGTCCAGCCAAGAACTGTTTAGGGACTTCTCTTAATTTTTTCTGTTCTGCTGCTACGCGCGTGACTTGTTGAAATTAACTTGGGAACTTCGAGTTCTCACCTGAAGTCTTGAACGACGCCCGGTCACGTGTGTACCGACGTCAAGGGCTCGCGGCCCGGGT